TTACATATATGTAAAACTCTAAACCTTTGTTAGAGTTTTACATATATGTAACAGTTTGTTATATTTAATAAAAAAAGCAATACGTTTACAATATTGTACATAGTAAAAACTATTTAGTCATCTTAACATTGTCGATGAAAATCAAACAGTTTCTGTACACAGATTAAACATGCACCATAGATTAATGGACGAATGTGATAACAAGGAAATAATACGGAAAGTTATACATTAATCGTTTGATGTTAGTCGGTCGCCGTTCATAAACAATGCAGATCTAATTATAGAGGGCGTTAGCGCGCACCGAACAGAAAATAGAACGCAATGTGGGCCACAGGCGCGCCCGCGCATTTACCGGTGACGCTACTCAAATATACACTGCATGCTAAATTAGCTGCGCGTTGAATGATATATTATTGGCATTATATTGAGTATTTCCTAATATCTACTGGTATTCAAGTTCTGGGCACATATGTACCTACTGGGATAATATAGTTCCAATGAGAATAACATACATGGATTCTCCTATGTGCTCATAACTCTCTCTCTATTATATATAGAACTCATTTTGTATATACAAATAGTAATGGTACATTTGGCGGACTTTATACTAGCGGCAATTTCTACCAGTCAATCATAGGATTTATTCCGCTAAGCAGTAAGCTGCTTTCTAGTTTAAAGGGCAATTAAGATATGGCAGTGAAACTACAGGTAAAGAAATCAGAAATCGGATCGCCCGCAGTACCACAGCGATTTTATAATATCCGTAGTTATGTTGTCTAAAGGCGTTGGTTGCCATTTTCCATTAGGTGGGTGTCGACTTTTAGCTGTTCCATCCATAAAAAAGGTAAAAGTTGGGTGTAACCAAGGATCCTTTGCAAAGAGTGCTAAAATGAATTTTATCAAAAAACTCGCAACTTTATACTAGCATCATTCCGAACGTCAAATTCTAGCCGAATACTTTAAATTCTGTTTTCTTACTGTTTTAATTAGTATTATAAGATGTGCCATCTTTGAGTTTCAGTGAATACATCGATAACATGATAATTAGTTCCATAGAATGGTGCAGTCATACATACAACAAAAGCTTCAATGGGATTTTGCGTAACCCATTGTCATAATACTAATTATTCACTTAGGGGATATCCCTTGGATACTGAGTTCACTGAATTTGATTCATCTAAATTTTATTACATAAAACTTCCTGTGAAATTATATTTAAACAAATAATACACTGTGTTGTAGTAGTATTGAGAAATAAATAGGTCGTTGTAATATCGATCGAATAATGCAGCAAGAAGTAACGAAATATACGGTTCCGTTTTGAAAATTATCTACAACTGAATACTGAATTGAATGGAGAATAATTATATGGTATTGTACCGTACCTACTAATCTTAAATCCGATAATTCGCTTTACTTTGTATACGTGGTCTTTAATGCATATGAAACTACTTTCGAACTTACATACTGGTAAGTTCGAAAGTAGTTTCATATGCATTGTACTGTTTCGCTTCCATGAACCCTATTCATTCATTAATTATGTAGGAGCCACCCTCTTGTCGGTGGAGCCCATGCTCTAATCGCCTATACTTGTAAGAAATTCAGGAAATCCCTGCAATACACACAAATTTTAAATCTCTAGCCCCAGTGTTTTTAGGTTGTTAATTGTGAAATTTTTTAAATAGGACAGATTTTTTTATTTTAAACTGTATTCACGGTTATTCACAATTGTAAATATTTCATAAACGAGATATTTACAATGATAATTTATTATTAGATAGCTTTCGACGTTTACAACGACGTCGAAATATCTAGTGAATATCAACGTCGAAATAAATAGTGATACAAGATCCAGCGACCAGACGCTGGACCCTCAGTAAGTACTTACATGTTTTATTTATTTTAATAAAAAGTTGAGAAAAACAAAAGAATGTGTTTTAGGAATGTTCCCAAAGGTATAAATTAAATTAAGTAGTTCTTATTTTTTATAGGCAGAGCAAATATAGTACTCCTACGTCTAATTTGTCATTCCAGTAATACAAAAATGTTTTATAAGTCTTAATTGCTTAAATACTTATTAAGTATATTTTTATAAGAAATGCTTAAGCATTTAAGAAGTAATATGATAATATCCCTACTACGCTTGACCAAAACAAAACCCATGTAATTCTTCGCGTGCACGACATTCCTGGCTGTTTCTTTTTACAACTGCTAAATAGTTTTAATGATTACTCTTACCTTAGTTTAATTCGACTAGTATTCGCCGAGTGTTCGAAAGGTAATCAAATGTGTGTATGAATGTATCTGCGACGTTTTATTTAATATATTGAAGCATTTTTAAGCATTACTATAATAAAATGCTTTTAACACTGCTGCTCTATACAAATTTTAACTGAGTCAAATTTCGTATTCCTCCGTCCGCAAAGTTTCAGTGAAAAGGGGTGCAAAGTTTTTGCTATAGTAAGTATTATATAACAAAAATTATTTTCAATACAAGTACCAAATAAGAGTGATCTCATCTTTTGATTCAAGTTACAAAATAAGACAAGTTATACTTAAACGTACTTATTATATATCTCAGTTGACAAAAAGTAGGTACAGGCTCCGTACATTACGATTCACCTTGTTTCGCGCAGCCCGCGGGGGCAATGACCCGACACAGCTGTGAGCGTAGTGGTGTGCGTAAATATAGTTTGAATACATTGAGCACACATTGAGCTGCTTTATTTATGTGTGTTGACGAAAATTGTTTTCTCTCGGTGAGCTTGGTCTCGGTCGCTTGATTGATCGCATATCGTGTATATTTTTCCATCTATCTTCACGCTTTATTACTGGTGGGGTAGATTGAGAGAGGCCCCTGGAGTTTTTTTTAGATTAAAAATCTAGTGACAGATCCTTTTAGGCATGAAATGTAATAGACAAATACAATATAACAGATACAATATGAAATATAACAGAAAAAAACATATAGTACCAATTACACATTTGTAGTACTGTATGTTACCTGCGATTTCTGCTTTATTTAAGATCAAAGAAAGTCTAGGCTATGTCTTGTATCCATCCTTATAATACAATCTATGTTATTCCTAAGCTTCTTTGAGATTCGTTCAACCTTAAAAAGGTAAAGGCAGCCTGATACTTTCTCATTTACAATATTACTATGGATATGGATTAACTCATCCTATTTCATATCATTACATAGTAGAAAATGAAGTCGCTTCCGCTGTCTGTTCGCAATAGATGTTAATACAGTTTATAGATAGAGAATAGCAATAGATCGAGTGACTCAAGAGGAAGGTTTATGTGTATAATAAATACATCTACAACCGAAGCGTGGCGAGGTATTTTTTTTATTGAGGGTTTTGGGCTATTGTCAGGTGTTTTTTTTATGAATGATAATGGTATGCACAAGTGGAGGATGATAAGATAAACATGAGGTCAGGTCAGTTAGCCCCTCGTGACATATTTAGCAGAAATTTATCACGATGGTTTCCAGGGGGAACTGCTAGGAGGTCAACCTGACATGGTACGTTGCTAGTAACCGAGTCCACATTACTAACAATCCCTTTCCCCCTATTTTCGGGTGTTAAGACCTGTAACACTGCGACCTACATAGATCTATTGTACTCGCCCTTTTTCAAAATTCACTACCTAGTCCCATCAAGGACAAGAATTGAAAGATATTCTTAGGAGCGATGGTTTTTACCTCCTCAGGATGTAGTGTATACTTTCCAAAAGAGTTATTTCGTTTATACATGACAACTACTAGTAGTTTTTTTTTCGGACTACTCTAATACTGTTGACCGCAGCTGGCCTGTACAGCTTCACCAGATAGGGGGGAGAGCAGATGACACTCCAAACCCGCGGAAGGACTTATGTAGGCCTTCAACCGCTCCATAACTTATGGAGCGGTTGTAGGCCTACTCCCGCCTGACGGATACGACTAGTGTGAGGGCATCGCTGGTGGTTCGAATCTCGGCTCAGGCCGTCATAATATCGATCCCCGTTTGAATTGGACGAGGAATCGATCGAAGAGGATGTGTAGTAGTGTAGGGGTAGCTAGTTAGTAAATAAAATAACTAATATCGTGTACAAAATCTTCACCTTTCACATGTTTATATATATAATACAAGTATGCGTGTCAAATGGACCTGGGTATTCTATATATTATATACCTATCAATGACACATATCACAATAATAATAATCTAATCGAATGTAAACATCCACAACACAAGAATGATACCGTGTCATGTCTATTGTATATTTTTATTCATCGAAAACGATTTAAAAGTCAAACCGCATAATGTGCTGAATCGTTTGTCAACGGACGCCGGATTTGGGTCAATGTCCGTGTATATTTGTGTTAGGGTTACCAACCATCCTCGAAGACTAGATTGTATCTTAATATCATTTATATAAGTAACTAAATATTTAATCTGAACAGACTGCGTGGCGTTTTCACATGATATAAAAAATCAAACATGATTTTTTTTCTTTTTATGTCTCTTTACATTATGTAGGGCTAGACGCTAGTTGAAAACAAACCCTTAGTTTAACCATGTTATGTATACGAAACTGATCATTTGAAATTATATTTTTAAAGGAATACGAAAATATTATTTTTATATGTGGCATCACCATATAATACGTATGTATAAAGTATATATTTGTATGGTTCAGTATCGCAATTACAATAATTCGATAATTGGATCTATATTTTCGCCTTTCGCGACAATTAACTATTTCGACATGACAAGGAAGTTTTCTTCAGGGTCAGTACAGCGCGTCCTATACAGAGCAAAGCGAGACGCTGTACGCACGCGCGATACACACTGATGTTCAGTGTGCATTGCGCTTTCCTACATAGCTATAAAATATTAGTGCAAGATACACATATAGTATTGTGAAGAATATACGTTACAAAATTATGATAGAAAATCACGAAGTGTAGGATACGTAGAGTGTTTTCTTACATGCTTTTTTTTTTCTTTATTTCAGGTCAGGGAGGGACTAAAGCCGTAGTCATGAACCCAACTACGGACTGCCATTCACATCAAGCAGGATAGCTGTATCAAAAGTAAGTAACCCTTATTTATTGACTTCTTGAATAACCTTTACTCTGGATAACGGGAATACGGCCATAGCGGGATAACTCAGGGCTGAAATAATTTGCAATTGATTCTAACCTAGAATCACTAACACTGCAGCTGTAAGGAAAATGATCCTTATTACTATAGGCTATAGTATCTACCTAATGCCGGTAGTGTTTAGAAGAATAAGAGCTTATAGCACATCCGGGGTCTCCCTCCCGGACGTAGGCGATAGATTAATCTGTTTATTTATATATGTAAGTAGGGATGTATATTTTTTTTTTCTACTCGAAATAAAGGATAACTTGTCCAGAATACTCGCCAACTTAGACTGGTAGTATTGTTGGTTCGGTATTTGTATATTAATATCCATTTAAATTCAATTAAATTTTCGGCAAATTTTTTGAAAAGTAATAAAAACTAAACTGAATAAATTGGTTATAGTTAAATGGAATATATAAGTACCCAATTCAAAAGTATAAAAATGTTAGACACGGCACAATTCAATATCACTGTTTCGGAATAAGTTTCGAGAGTAAATCACCACTAGTTTAGGCCGCCATTCTTGCATTTGCCTTGATTTTATTTTAACAGTAACATTTCTACTATAAAGTCTAGAGTAGTTTGAACTTAAGTTTGTAAAGGTAACATAACTATATATAGTTACGTGATATAACCTAGTAACCATCTAACACTTATAAAGAGCCTTGACTAGTTGATTGAACAGATTGTTCAATCAACGTACATCACAACTCGGGCTACAAACCTGATAGTTTAAATATGTATATTGGCTTCCTGTTATGACGCAGGTATCCATTAAAATTTATTTTCAGATTCACACTAAGAGATACTTATCTCTTGCGTAAAGGATTCATTTATGTTTTTTTTTTGTAGCTCGTTACTTGTAGAAGAACTGTTTTAGTTAGTTCCTAGTACGTATCTCGCATTCGATGGTTAGATTTTTTTAACTTGGAGAAAGTAAAAGAAAACGGCTACAGTAAGTCTCCTACTCATTAAAAACTCCGAGATGTCCCTCATCCAACGCTATATGCCGAAGTTACGGGATCAAGTGACAGTCCACAGTGACTCCGACGCCCAACTCTATAGCGGGTCCCATGATCCCATCTCTCTGTTACCTAGGGGCAAGACTACCGAAAAAGGCTTTGAGCAAAGTTTGAACTCAATAAATAGTTTAGTAATGCGACTCCTAATTTTCAAGCTATACATTTCCATATTAAACAGAAATAAACCGAACCGATAGGCTCTATCAATCGGGTACGAAGTCGCGTCGTCCATAGATACACTTATAGTAACGGAAAGTGCAGTACGTAATTGCATATTGCAATGCATCGGTGCATACATGCAATTTTAGTTAACATAAATATGTAGTTACACGCAACACCGCTGCCGTGGTTGTCATAATTATTCGAGTTCCAAACGGTCATATTAATAAGTACAGTTGGCTTCATAGTTAGTATATTTTGCTGACATACTCAAATAACTAAATAACTATCCTTACAATACGTTGAAAGTTATATCAGTTACATAGAAAAAAATCATTCTATTCTACTTATTTAAAACTAGATTTTACACGCGGCATGCGCGAGCCGGGATATTTTGGTTGTCCGAGGTAAAAGTTGATTTAAACTACTTATGTCCTTCTAAATTTTATAAAACATATTCCGTGGGTGCCGTATTTATCGGGCCTTATAACAGTTTAGCCAACTGTTATGTACGATATAAACAACGAAACTAATTTACATAAAAGATACAAGTATTCATAAGTACTGGAATACTCGGTATTTTGTATGACGGTGATATTTCAGACAACGATTTGGGTAATCTGACAGCCTACCTACTAGTACATACAGTCGAACTGCGTTCTCAAAAGTTAATTTGCTAAACTTTGACGATATTATCTTAAAGCTGCTGGCAGGGTCGCCATGTAAGGACAAGGACGAACTCCTTGAACATCGGAAGTACAAGATACTACTCCAGAGTATGGATATAAAATGCTCTTTACTACACATTATTATTAATTATATGTTTACTTTTACTACAGTCCCTACACAAAAACTAGAATACGTACATTGTACGGACTGTATGATCTATGTCTATATGAGCTTTATTATGTTAAAATAATATATATGTAAATACATATACATTTATCCTAAAAGAATAACATTTAGGTTAATTAGAGAAGAAAAACATTACAACATTTATTTGATAAGATATCTATTAACGTATCGTACCGATTTCCGTAATATGATTAATTGGTTACCTATTATTACTCGTTGTATATAAACATATTATCTAGAACAGTTCGCTGGTCTTTATCAAACATAGTTGGAAACGGAAACAATTACAATCAGGTAGAAATGTTCCAAAAACCTAGTATAGAAAAAAAACGGATAATTTGTATTTATATATAATAATAATGTAATTACTTTGCTTTATATGCCCGATCGAATTTCGACCGAAACGCAGCTACAACTGAAGCAAGTTGCTTGGCGACTGAATTAGCGGCAACTTACTACTATACGACTTTGTACAGTGTTTTTTTTTTATAAAACGAGCGTCTCGTACCATCAGGGAAGCCCCCTGATTATCGCCATCCATAAGCACTCACAACATCAGGTGAATTACAATTATGTTGTCAGCCACTTGAGAATGCATAAGCTCTTGATAGTTTCAATATCGTATCGGTTCAAAAATACCATTGCTGAAAGGTGATTCCACAATATGGTCTAAGACGGTAGAAACTTCCGTTTAGTTTGTGTTGATTATTATAAATGCAGAAATAGCTTTTGCTGAATATTATATCAATATTGATTAAATCTGTATATCTACTGATCGTATATTATGTCTGTCACGTTTTTAATAGACTGATTTCGATAATAATTATTAGTAGTATAACGTAGACTTGTTTCGTTGTATGATGTATAACTTCATTACGCTAGAAGTACAGAATACTTAGGTACCTCAGAGTAGGCTACATTTACGTCTTATAAACATGTTGACATACCCGGAACATATATTAAAATAATTAAAGTTTGCTATAAGATAATAAAATTGAATCGTATGTTGTTTAATATTCAATTTAAAAAAAACTTTACGTTATCAGCTCGCCACGCCAAGGTCAAAAAAGGTTATATAGTCGGAACATGCGAACGAACAAGAATAACTTCGTATTTATATTACACTAGTTGATGTTTTCGACTACTTATACATATTTTGATATACATAAAAGTGTCTACTTAGGTATTTGTTTATAGTCAAAAGTACCATTATTATTAGTTTTATATTCCTTACTTGAGAATTGATAAATACTTAAGTTTTATTCAATATTTCAATTTTATTTTCTCAATAAAAATCTGTACCACTAAACCAATTGTGATTATTTTTGTTATAAAGAACAAAAATAATCACAATTGGTTTAGTGGTATGAAAAAGTAATAGACAGACGGACTGTTCTATTTGTATTAACAATACAAATACCCATACAACATACATTCATATTTTTTTATTTTTGATAAACAGTTTTATTTATATTGTAATTGGAGTTTTATGCTTCTATCGTAGTCACATTTATTTCTATATAATTAAAATGTATTGTCGTGAGATTTTCCTCAATGCTTAGTTATTTATAAACGCATTGTAAATTACAGTTATATTAAATATTAATTTAGATTGTGGTCTACGTTATAGCTTTAGATTTTCACAACTGCGGTTATCACATCTATTTACAGCTGACTGCCCACCGTTTACTGTCTGTAGTAGTTTTTCCTTACATTAGTTCTATCAGGCATCACAGCTTCACGCAATCTCATCAGGACTCACCAGGCAGAGTTTCATGCTATAGAATTGAAAACATTTCTGATAGTATTCGGCGACACGACAATTCTGTTACACGTTAATAACTCACATCTAAGTACTAAAATACACGTGGTTTTGGCTGTTGGAGAGGGAGGGGAGTTAGACGTGATTAATGGACCCAACAGATTAATATAATTTCATACGTACAATAGCATAATGAAACATGACTTTTTCAACTACAAGTAAATACTTGTAATAACTTTTTACCTTGTTGGGTTCCGTTTGAATGGTGAGGTAGTGAATTTGCAGGGTCCGAAGGTATGACACCTAGGTCTTCCGGAATGGCAACACATGAGGTCTGATGGCTATTTATGTATATAGGCGATATTGCACTTACCATCAGGTAACCCGTCAGCTTGGGCGGAAAGGTGATCGTTGGTAATGTGGAGTAAATACCCATTGCTAGCAATGTACTATGTCAGGTTGACCTGGAAATCATCGTGATAAATTCTTGGTGAATTTGTCACAATGTGCTAACTGACCTGACCTCATGCTCATCTTATCATCCTCCACTGGTGTCCCGCCAGCGTAAACCGTTAGCGCAGGCGGATTCACCATTCCATTAACATTAAAAAAAACCCGTCAGTGTTTGAGTGTGAACCCGTGTCAGATGTTTGAGCTACATATTTTTATATGTAAGCCAGTTGACACAAACGTTGTTTTGTCATATCAATTATTATAGCTATTAAAAAGGGTGTTGTTGTTGGTGAAGGGTGAAATTTAGGATGTATGTATTTTTAATGTTACATATTAAAAAAAATGGTTAAGTAATAAATAAATAATATATTTTAGGGACGATCCTTATCACTTAAGAGTATCAAAAATACATGACAATCTGTTCTCAGACCTACCGAGTATACATATATATATAATTTAAATAAAATTGATTAAGCAGTTTTTGAGAAATATGGCAGCCAAAATTATAATTTTTATAAGATTTTTACATATATAAATTAATATATAATATAGTAATTGTAATATTATCTTAAGTCGTCATACGAGGACAGCCGAAGCTAATGTACAGCGTAATTCACATGAAACAATAAGCACTTGTTACAACGGGAACATTGCCAAATAGTCTTGGAAGCGACGTGTTCTAATAATACGACGATCGCACCCCGCTATGTGGTTACAATGTGACTTCCGTCGTTATTTGTAATGATGATGCGAGTACAGTGTTTCTTCACACATTTGTTGATAAGCCATCTCTCCGGAATATGTTATTTTATTGTTTGCTTCTATATACATCCGTATAATCTTACTACCATCATATATAGTTTGACAGTATTTATAAAATTCTCCCATCGAACGGTTCAATTTTTAGCTCCTTTGTTACTTATTTTTTTATAATTCTTATGTTTATTTTTTTATTGCACATTCACTCTAGCGGTCATAGCCCAAAATCACTGAGTATGACTGAGTAGTTACTGAGATAACATGCCTCTATATCTAGTAGTTACTCTACAAACCGGAACACTACTTACAAAGTCTACGGTTTATTTAGTTAATTAGTCAGTATCGTCATATCAATTAGGCAACTGCGCGTAACTACTATCGTCTGAACGAGATAAAAGATACGTTATGTCCTTTTTCATCTTAGGCTCGTGTGTGTCTAACATGACTACTGTTTCAATTTGAAACAAAAAAAATGTACACAAACACACAAGCACAATGCAGTTGAATTAATAATCTTTTATGTTTGATGCAATTATATATTTCTGCGAAACTAGACACGACAAGACAAGTTTATTTTCAACTGGATATTTACATAGTTCACGGCAATACATGAATAATTATTTATATGACACTACTAAGGTACAGTCTGCCTCGTATTAAATGTAGCATCATGAATGGAATTATTACTTCTGATCATAGTCTTGTAAATGTACAATGTTGTTAATCAAATAAGTACTCTCATAATAATGGAATAACAATTGTAAAACTTAATATAAACATTTACTAACAAATAATTGCGAGAAAACAACGTTTGTATAGTATTTTTTTACGATTGTACTAATAAACAAAAATCAGTTCTAACACATTAAAAAAAAATTACAATATAAAATGTTCCGTAAACAGCACGAACTAAAAATAAGACAAAAAATACTTATCAAAACAAATTCGTGGTATTCAATAGAGCAGCACCCATTCACGAGCGTGACGGATGAACCAATCATCGTTTCAAATAAGACGTTATTCTATTTTTAAATAAATTGTCAGTTAGGATAAATCCTTTTTTATGAAACGAGTAACTTAGTGAAAGAGTACATGTTCATCAATGGTTCACATCAATATGGCACCTTTAAATGCTAAAATTAATATTATAAACACGAAAGTTTGTGAGTATGGATGTATGTTTGTTACTTTTCACGCGAAAACTACTGAACGGATTTTGATGAAATGCGTATAGATCATTAGACGTTCATCAGAAGACACCAACATTATATTAATAAAGTTATTCCTTGATGTATTAACAGAGCTGACTGTACATAACTACGAGGGAGCAATGTCTGTTCTCCGGTGAATATTCATTCAAATCAAACGCTTTCGAATCACCTTTTAATATTAATTGGTTATTGTGCCATTCTTGTTAACCTACATTATCAATTATAAAAAACCACAAAATTAAAAAAAAATATATAGAATCAGATTTTATAACACCATGGCCTCAAATAGGTAAGTTTTGTATTTGACCATACCATGTATTTACCACACCCAACCTTATATACTCTTTTGTTCATTGTTAAAATGTGACCACAGACTTTGTATTGTAAATAGAGTAATATTATTTGTCGTTCATATTATTTATTTATAGTCTTATTGAATATTAAATTAATTACGGTTGAATTTCGACAACTGGGCGACCATTAGTAATAATAAATAAATATTACCTATTAGGAAATTACAGACAGCTGTAATTGTTTCTAAAATAAATAAATAAATAAGGACGAAACGCAATAATGCTCACCACCAGGGCCGTCGACCGTTAGAGCTTGTGATCGATAGAGGGTTGAGGGTGGCTGTTGCTTCGGAGACAGGCAAAGTTCCGCGGTATAGGGCGGGAGGGCACTGCCTACACGGTGCAGTGTTTACTAACGTAAATAAATTTACACTGTATCGGAAAGAGATAGTGCGAATTTTGTGAGTTTGTACGAGTATATGGTAAGCTTCAAACCAAATGCAGTTACACATATCCTTATTGACAGGTCCATTATTCAAAATGCATATGAACTCAGTGTTTATTTAATTTGTTTAGATGGTTGAATATGGAATATGAATCTCGCCTGGTGCCGTAAACGTCGAACGGTATAACCTGGCGAGATATTTAGTTAGCCTATTGTAGTGAATTCGCCAGAAACCATGATTATGGAAGAATTATAATCATAAAAACTTCATACTAAGTACTTAAATATTAATATTTTTTTTAATTTGACTAAACTACTCAATACAATAATAAATATATTAATTTAAAAAGGGGATACCTGAGAAACTATGATTGATCTTTTTAAAAACCACGCCATTAGTCAATATAATAGTCATTTTGAATTCGATCGTTTGATATAGATGACGGGCCAGTATTAAGTCTGCATTAAGCACACATTACTTATTTGCAACAGTTATAATGATTAATTCAGTATTAATTTCAAATGTGGTCAATTTACTATTGATTAAAAGGTGAACAAACTTTTTAGCAACGTTATTTTATTTGTTATAAAAGCACGCGGAAGTTTCACGTTGTTTTTTATTGTTGTTTGTAATGTGCCGGTGTAGTAGCATACTGTAGTACAGTACAGTATACTCGTGTTTAGGGTCGAAGTACGCTCAAGGGCAGCCGCCGGATATTGACCCCACCAGACCACCTTCGACAATCGGCGTTCTTGTGCTCTGATGTGTAAACACTTAGCACTTTGTCACAATAACATTATTGCTATGTTCAAACATTTTTACAAATTGTCTTAATGCAGCGTTATTAAAATAGAATACTAAAGTGGTTATACATTTGTGATTTCGACTGTTCTGATTACCAAAATCTAAACAAATAAATAAAATTTAAGTGCAAACAGCTTTTCATCAAATGCATATCAAAGTACAGTACTTACATGATAAATATATTATTAATAATTTTGGTTTGTTCTTCATAATCTCTGATAGGTAATGTTATATTCTAACCAAGTCGCGGGTGACAGCTTGTTATAAATAAAATAATTTACCTCTACAATTTTAGTCGGGGTTTATGACTACGACGTCAGGTATATACAGCCTGACGTCACACTCAGGCGGTCCATAGTGTGAATATGGACCGCCATTATATTTGATAATGTAAAAATCATATAAGCATCAGTGTTAAAGAGAAAACGTGGAATTATTTATTATCTTCTGTATCTCCCAAAAGAGCGATAGTGTTTAAAATCATTATTTCTGATTGTTTTTATTTTCATATTTATTATATATTTATTTCACTACATTATTTAGTATTGAGATAACGCGAGGTCAAGGATATCATGATATCATTATCTCTACAGAGATACGAGTTTAGACTGTGGAATCTGTTTCTGTTAATCGTATAAGATAATAAAAATTGTAATTTAACTAAATAAGTCGCATTTTTTAACTAATAACAAACTGTTGTTTCAGGTATTCAGTAGATACTGGGGCTCGTAGTATGGATGTCAGCTTCGACAATGTAATGGAAGGGATGCGCCAGTACTTCATGGGAGTACCGAAACAGGCGCAGGCGGAAGGTTCCGGTCAGAGCGTCTGGCCGGCTGGCACCCCAATGCTAGAAGAGGGGGCACCGGCTCAGTCTGGCGCTCCTGCACATTCATCACGACCGCCTTCCGCTGCTGCTGCTCCACCGTCCACTCCGTCGCAGATGGCTATTGCAATCCCACCCAGACCGCCATCGGAACCATTGCCGCATATTATCCATAAAGCCACAGTAATGCGAGAGGCGGCCGAAAAACGACGTGAAATGCCAGAAGTCGAAGACGAAGAGGAACCAATAGCCACACTTTCGCCACCTTCACATTTCATTCGAAAACCACAGTGCACACTACCGTCACCCGCACCCGCTCCTGCTGTGCATTGCCAATCTCCGTCTCGACCTCCATCAGCAGCTTTACCGCCCCCTCCAGTACCAGAGACTCTTGAGGCTCCTACACAGTATAGACCACCAGCGCACCGAGTACCCACGCCAACGGCTAGGCCACCTGATCAATTTGCACCTGGTCGCCCGCCAGATCCTTATACCACATCTCGACCTCCAGAACCATATGTTCGATATCCTTATGAGTCGAATTTACCTGACACAGGGAGAAGTTCACATGGTCCACCGGTTGCTTCACCGCAACCATCGATGCCGCCTGCACGGCATAGTCCACAAACATATGCGAGGTTGTCAAATTCCATGCCCCATCATAACGCTACAAGACTGCGTGAAACTGCCACGCATAGTCCTCCTGCTCAGCGTTATACTATGCCTTCAGCACAACCACCACCTTTACATAATGATCGGGTTCCACCAATACACCATCCACAAACGGCGCCATCCCAGAGGCTGGATGTTCGCACAACCCCTATATATTCTCCTCATCTCCAGCATCGTCGTGAACCCTCACCTTATAGTAGGACATCGTCACATTATGACAGACATCCATCAGTACCTGCTCAAAAATATGATCCTCAACAAGCCTATCCTGGATATCGGCCGATTTCAACTACTCTTCAGCCGCTTCAAAATCATCGTGTAGAACCACATCATGCGGCTCAGTATAAACAGGCTGCTGTTGATACAATAAATCAGCATTATGGTTCGAGAGCATCTGATCGTGTTCCGGTACCAGCACAATCCCATACACATGATACAGCACGTTTACCATCACGGGTTGATTATCCAACTTCAAGCAGAAATATTGAGAATACGCATTCAAGGGGAGCCTTTTCTTATCCTATTCCATCAACTTCAACATCAAGATATGCATCTAGTGCATCGGTGCCCACCGCGCAAAACTCCTCGGTGCAACCAAGATCTTCATACCGTCCAGCGGCAGCCCCAAAAACTAACTATGAATATCCAACATCTAGTCCCATTCAAACATCACCTGCTCGATCGACGGCAAAGCCTGGATACCCTAATCAGCAGGCGCGTATGACAGTATCTGTAACTTCATTAGTGAATCAAATGAATCAGACTAAGCATAAGCGCGACTCCCCTCATACAACAAATGTACAAGTTAATCAAATGAATCCAGTTAAACAAAAACGGGAGTCTCCTCTAGATTTATCTGTAAAAACTGTTAAAAACTCTGCTGATTCATCAACAACTCAAGACGATATAATCGATTCACCATCAATAGAGAATAAAACATTATCATTGCAACCACGACCAGCATTGAATAATCGACAAAATATTCCTAGTGGAAGTTACGTTGCCAGTCATAAAGTAGACTTTGCTCCTAATTTCACGCAATATAGAGAGCGATCTACTCATAGTTTCAGTGCACACACAGTGCAGTCTACACACCAAGCAGTATATAATGGTGCCTATGACACAAGACGTCCGGCCCCTGAATCTTATTCTGTAGAATCTCCACATCCAATTTATTCAGAACGTAGTAAATATAACGGTCCACTGAATAGAACTGATCATGTTCCTAGAATAGATCTTACAAGACCAAGTAATGATCAACGTCATCTTGAGAATAGAATAAGGGATGACCGACATTTTATAATAGAAGAGAGAAAACGTCCTGCAGGTCCTATAGTGAACAACATTCCGGAAAAGATAGTACGTTATGAAACTTGGACTTCAAACGGTCGAATAGAACGTATGAGTCAGTCAGATCGAGAACAGCATGAATTAATGAGTCGACCCGTGTACAGTTATAGCAGTCATAAACAATTTGAGGCTTATCAAAATGAACACAAGAGGCCTATTGTAAACCCTTATCGTGAACAGCATTCTCACGTTAATCATAGATATCCCAACAATTCTTATCCTACAGATCTCCCAAGTCGAGAGACAACCGATTATCACCCTCATTATCATGACAGAAATCTATCTAGCAATAGTCGTCATCATGTTATACAAAAAATTCCGAGTCATAGAGACCTGTATCCAAATCATTTGGATTTACAAAATGGCGTGCCTGCTGATAAAAGGGTATTGAGTATATTGAGAAACAGTTTAGAAACAAAGCAATCAGGAGGCATAGAGCCAACTAGGCAATCGAGAAATACACCTGATCTCATTGTTATTGACGATGGAGATGACACTGTGATAGAAATAACTGATCTTACGAAAGATAATGATAATGAACCAATTAATAAAGATTTACCAAAACAAATTCAAAGTCATATTTCTAACCTAGGTAGCCACATTCAAATGCCAAAAGCTGTAGATTCTATACAACAAGATTCTGATTATAGTAAATTGGATAATGCTGAGGTAAAGAGTAAATCGCCAGAGTATGATGTCGCGTCACGAATAAGAACTAAAGCCGAATTGAAAGTAATGCCACCATCTCAGGAAAGCAATGTAAAACCTGAAAGAATACTTGATGTACCTACTAAGCATGAAAAAGTAAAGTTGCTCCCAAAATCTCAGAAACAACACCTATTCAATCAAATTAGAGAAGATAACCTTCGACTAGAATCTGTAATAAAGAGTGAAAATGTGACCGATATTGTTCTACCCGAAGTTAAAACGGAACCAATGAATATAGATGAAATAGAGAAGGATGCAGAAATACCTATAAAAACAGAAACTATTTTAGAAAACCTAGAATCCGAGGTGACTCAAAGTGGTGAACCCATTGAAGATTTAGATTGGGCTAGTACATGTGACAACTTTATGGAACAATTGAAAACTGGGTGCCACAAAAAGAAATCTCAACGAAAACGGTTTGAAACTGCGGAGTTTGAACAAGAAGATAAAACTGAGACACCTAAGAAATCACAATCTGCAGAAGCCACGACGTCTTCAGAAATTCAAGGTGAAAAAGATGTAGCAGAATTAGTTCCTAGTGTTGTTATTAAACAAGAGCCTGTAGATGAATATGAAATAAATGAAACTGAACCATCATCTTCGATAATGCAAAATTGTAAAGAGAAGGTTTCTCAGAACAAACTGGACTCAGAAAATGAACAGAAAGAGATATCCAAAGAAAAGCATGATACTCTTAAACAAAAAGAAAATAAGAATGAAAAATTCAAGAATGACAAGAAGGCCAGTAAAGATAACGATAAACAAACCAAATCTAGAAAGATGAAAATGAAATCCGAAAAAAATGACTCTACCACATTAATTTCAGTTACTGTTAAAAAGGAAGCAAAAGAAAAAGATACAACTAAACCTATTATTAAAGAAGAACTTGAATCTACCGATGACGACGAACCTCTTATTAAAAGCAAATTATTAAAAGACAAGGAACAAAATGATCGACTTAAATATCAGTTACTTAAAGATTTATCTGAGAAATCAGCCTACGTGAAGCTAGAATGTTGCGATGTCGATGTCAATAAGAATAATAGAAAGTCGATCGATTCCTTGTCAAAAGATAAAGAAGAAAAGCAACACAAAGGTAAATTAATTAAACAGACGTCACGAATAAAAGGAAAATCTTTGTCTATCGACAATAATAAAAATCTAAAACAAAATAGTGAATCTACATCAGATAGTGATGACGATGATGATTTAAGTGTAGCAAGTCGTCTACGCATACGAAAAAGCATAAAATCTGAAGAAAGTAGAGCTGCACTTGGTGTTAAATCTCCTATTAAATTATCTCCTCTAAAGAAACAAGATAATGGTAATGCAAGTAATAATTCCACTCCAATACGTAAGCCCGGCTTTGGTGATGGTTCTGATTTTCATCCGGGCTGGGAAGAGGAATTGTACAGATATAAACGTTCTCTACGAATGCCTACAAGGCTTATTGCTATACCGAGAGGACGGTCTGGTGGTCCATTTTTGAAAGGATCAGGGCCATTATTTTCTCGAGGAACTACGTCTCTTCCAGATCTTGATCCGGCCCCACTATCTCCGGCTCCATCCTCAGCACCATCGGCGGCTACTGATGACTTGTATTCAAGACGTCCAGATAAGCTCACTCTGGATAGTGACTTAGATTCAAATTCCAGTTGTTCTGCACCACAGAAACTGCATTACGATTCCGAAGCTTCAACATCTACCGTATTTTCTACTTCAAAAGCGAAAAACAAAGGTAGTTCTATTGTAGATGTGTTAATTCAAAAATGTGGTAAAAAAGATGATTCTAAAAAGAAATCTAAAGATAAGGACGAAAGAACCCCAAAAGTAATACCGAAGAATTCAAATACGAGTGAATTGTTGCCGACACCTAGTTTAGGACTGGTAAAAAATGGAAATAAAAACAGTCTCAGTGCCAAAAAGGAAAAATTAATGGAAGATATATATTATTTAGGTGCTTTTAGAAAAGAAACGGTCACAGCATTTAGGAATGCTTTCATAAAAAATACAGATGGTTTAATTGGTGCTACAGAGGAATTTGCACCAGTCGTTTTAAAGTCTAGGACTAGAACTGAAAGTAGAGTACTGAAACAAAGGGCTACAATTAAAGAAGTATTTGGTGACGAAAGACCAGCCTCTGCACCACCATCTTCTTGTAGAGAAAATGAGTGCATTGAAACGCACGAAAGTACAGAAGAACAAGTGATAGAGATAAAACAAGAACCAAAAGAACCAGAAGCCAAGACTAAATTTAAATCTAAAAAGATATTGAAGGACAAACTGAAGCGAAGATCAAGCTCAATAAGAGACGGCCTTAGAAGCACAAAATCACTTAAAAGAAATGACGCTAAAGGTAGACTACTTCGCCTTAAGAAAAGAAATAGTCTAATGAAATCTTTACCAAATAAACGAATTAAAGATATTTCTCTTAAACATAAAAAGCAAAGCGGACCTAACCTTGATAAAGATAAATCAAAAGAAGAAAGTAGTTCTTTATCAATAAATGATGGGAAAAGACGTTTGAAACGATTATTTGGTAGGCGGAAATTCAGTTCAGGGTTTGATTACATACGTAAGAAGAAAAAAATAATACGCAGAGAGGACACGGATGCTAATACTAACAGGATACGCCGACCCGCAGTGAAACCAAGTCCTGAATCTGTTCATGATATTCATAAAGAAATAAAGAGCTGGATTATTAACAAGAGTATCGGAGAAACACATCTTCATCGTGCTGCTAAACTCGGATACACGGTAATTTTCAACTTAAATTGTTTGTGGCTTTTTATTTTAGATGATTAGGTAATCACTGTTATTATTTTTACTTAAATATTTTAGGATTGCGTGGCCTATTGCCTGGAGAAAATGTCAACTGACCCATCAGCTAAGGATAATGCAGGCTTCACCCCACTTCACGTTGCATCTGCTAAGGGTCACGTCAGAATAGCACGCCTACTACTGCAATATGGAGCAAATGTATCTGCAGCAGCACAGGGCGGTATAAGGTATAAGTAAAACCTGTATTAACGTTGTTTTTAGGATCATAAGCACATAATAAACCGAAGTTGTATTTATGCTGTAATAATATATTTGCAGACCACTTCATGAAGCATCTGAGAACTGTCATGTGGAAGTGATAAGACTTCTTTTGTCATATGGCGCTGATCCTTTACTCGTAACGTATGCTGGTCAGACACCGGAAGAATTAGCTGAAGGGCAATCAGCGAGACTTATTAAGCTGTATGTTGCTGATGTACAGGGCCTAGCAGTCGAGCCCTGGAGGTTTCCACACCCAGCCGACATTATTGGTAAGTTATCAAAATAAATTAATAGAATAATACTGTAAGTTAGTGTGCACTGATGAATATTATACACAAGTAGTTTGTGCTCTTCATGCATATAAGTGATAGATACTATAAATTCCTTAAAAAATATTATTTCCAGATCTTGAAGAAATTGGCTGTGACTCGCTATCTTCACCTCCACCTGCTTCTCCTCCGCCACCACCTGATTCTACTATAGAAATACAATGTACGGAGGCCCCACTTCCTCCATTTTACACTCTGAGAACGGGTACTGGGCAGCCATGTGACGGCTTGTGGTGTCTGTTGCAGGATGTTACAAATGTATTACAGGTAATGAACTATAATATTTTTTATATAGTAATAAATAATCATCTCTACCAAGATTACACTTATTTTTAAAAGTCGTGTATTGTGTGTACTCCTCAGTTCCTCCATTTTAGCCGGCAAATAGTTTGATTTGTAAGTTGCAGTGAAATAATAGGATAAAAGTATAGTAACTTAGAACGCCACTAATCCATTTACTTGTACCAATTCGCCACTAGAAACCATCTCCATGATTTATTAGTTATTCGAGCTATGTAGAACATATCTTGGCGTGACTTGGCTCTTATGTCCTGATTGCGGATTATATCTGCGGAGCAAACCGTTTTCTTTCGTAAGTTGTTACTAAATGTTGGTTGAATTTGTAAGAATTATCTGGAGAGAGACTTCAGAAATCCCGTGTCGTTGCGAGTTAATCTAGAATATGGTCTGTTATTTGTCTGCTATTTATGTAATTATGCCCGCGGTTACATCCACGTAAAATTTATTATTCTGATCACTTAAACAAATCCGTTCAATAGTTTTAGTGAGAAAGAGTGATCCATACCCTCAAACTTTCGCATTTATAACGTTAGTAAGATGTTTATGAGTAATATTTTATATTTCAGATCAAATCAAAGGACAGCCTACTGAAACAAATACACTGTGGATCTGGTTCTCCGAAGGAACTTCTGCGGGAGATTCGTACTCAGGAGTTTTTGGAGAGAGCACAATGTCATCAACTTCTATGCGCTGGAGAGAAAGTCAACGTGCGCGCTTCTAAAGTATCACTTGTCAGAGTAACCGATAAACTTAGGCAACTGCTCAAGATAGAAACAATTCTTGTCAGCTGACACTAATTTTATTTCGCCATTATTTATCGAAAATATCCACAAACTGAAAGTAATGGTCAGATTACAAATTTCATTATGTTTTGTTATTATTATTTTAAGGAAACTATAAATCGAGCTTTTATAAATTATGTTAATGATCATGGATTTAAACAATTGTGATTGTCAATATAACATTGACTGTAGATTTACATAATAGTGTATGACGGATAATTCTATCATAAAATGGACACACTGGTATGAATATAATGCTGACAGCATTATGACCATGATTCGTATTAGTATACGGATGTGGCAATTGAGGATGGCTCAACAACGAGATCTTCATCTAGATCGACTGATTAATGTAATCTAAACAAGATGTATCTCATATAAGAACAATGTAATAAATATTCGTTTCATGAGACTGTTTATGTTAAGGCAGCCATTACATAATCTTGACACTCCACCATAGACAAGAGTGAGAGATTTATATTTTCAACTTTTCGACTATACCTCTATCGAACAACGTAGGTATGTAAATATTGTAAATAGTTCATTGAGCGTTTTTGCGTATATATATATTGCTTTAAATGTATAATATTCTCATGGGTGCTATTTAACGTTGGTGTACGGTTTAATGAATTAGATAAATAAATAGTTATATCAAATTGCTACGGCAACAATTTTAGTATAATATTAATAATTATTGGTAGATAAAAATAAGAGATATAGTTACCACATCCTAATTTAAGTCATTAGCATAATCTTAAACTATGTGTGCAATAGTATACGTGCGTGTATCGAACATGTGTAGATGAATTTATATGAGTATATGGGGGGTGAAAGTATCAGTCACAGGGTTGGACCAAGCCTTAGCACGATTGCTGTAGGTACTTAAAGCATCTAGTGTGAGTAAGTGCAATGTGCATCGTATGCAATTAAATGTATTAAATTTTTCCCTAAAAATGAAGGAACCGGAAGAATTTCCAGTGCTATTAATTAATTATTTCATCGATACATCACTTGACAACTTTATTGACGAGAAAATGATTTATAAATGGATATATATATATAATATTAAACTTATCATTTATTTTGAGATTATGCTAGTATTCGTCTACTTTACATATGCAAATTTTTGTTCATTGTTATGTTTGCTAATATCGTTTGCAAATTATGTTTATTTCTGTAAAAATATTATTTTTCTTGAAATAAAGTTACGTTTTTATATATATTTACTTGTAAGAAATTAGGAAAATTTATTGAAATACATTATTAAATGCATATCGCAATTTTATATTAACATTGTAAATAATGGAAATTAAACAAATTATTTTTTAACTTATTTTGAAGCTACATATACTTATGTAACTTTTTGAATATTGACAGTAAAGTGCTACCTACCAATAGAGTACAGATATATCATTAATCGATATTTAGTTTGATACACGACTATTATATCCAATATACATTAATGTATCTATTTTGGAACATTGTATAAATGAATGGTAGACATTTTATACTGTATAGGATATGATCATGTTCCGCCCTATTTATTTAACATTGAAAATCAGAAACGAAGAAGTACATGATTAATCTGTGATGATTTATTATTAGGAGGATTATCTTGCGTACGGAAAATCGTATGAAATTATTGAAAATAAATGGAACCGACGGAATATACAGCGTGTATACTCACAGAATGAATATGTTGTGTAACTCCTGTCTGTTATAGCAGTACCTACTGTATAAGTATTATTATAATTATTGACACATATTTCTTGTTGATAACTATGAAAATAAAAAATGTGGTCATTGAAGTACGTATTTTATTTAATACTAGTAAGTTCCCGTATTATAAGCCTATATCTAGATATGGATGTCTAAGATGTATTGGATCTACCTATAATGATATTGGATGTAGAATGGATGAGTAAGAAAAAAATCCGCGACGCACAGAAGTGAAGAAATATAGGTGATACTCAAACCAAACACCTACTTTTTTGATAGAAACAATAACTTGATTGCATTAGCTGTTCATGTATATAGGCGACAGTTACAACTTACCATTAAGTGGGCTGTCAGTTTGTTAGAGATTCCAATTATATAAAAAAAGAAATAGTCTCATTCCAAATGTGTTTTAAAATCCCGGGAGCACAAGATAACAATATATGTATATCATTTTAGATGTCCTAATTAAGACTTCATATGGAAACCAACACGCCACGTTTAAACAATCGATATTTTGGAATCAACGCTTCCTATGATCGCAATGCCTTCGTAAAGCTCTGATTTTATATGCTTTACAGGCTTAATATATTGAAAATAAACTTAAATTAAGAAATATGAAAAAACAAAATTAATTTGCATTCCTACATAAACTAAAAGACCCGGCGGACTTCGCCCCGTCAGAATGAAATTATGTGAAAGTTCAATAAATTAAAATTAGCAAAGAATAATCGTAAAAAAATTGTTAATACATTTTAATTAATTTAAATTTTGTGTTATATGTACAATCTTTTTTATTTCTAACCACAATTTGTGAAAAATCATTCATTCCTAATTTTGAACGGTGTGTACCAAAGAATATACAACTCAAAAGGTGTGCATGCTCCATCTAGTCGAATAATGCGGACTAAATTTGTTCTATGGAAAAAACGACGTAAGTCATATTTTTTGTATTCTTATTCTACTGCGTATCTAATCTAATATATCCATACATAATAAAAAACACTCATTTAATTTATCTGGCAACATTGATAATTGATAAACGATCGCAGCTACAAAGGACAAATAATTAGTCTAGCTCTCTTTAGATTATTATGTTCCTTGGTCTAGCTATTCAAAGAGGGAACGCTGGCAATATCTTTGGAACTTTGCCTAAAGGGACCCCTTTTAATAATATATTTTAGTTACTATATTATATTTATTAAGCTTTTTAATTTTAGGTTGTAATAGTAGTTGTACAGTTAAGTTATGTATATTGATAAACGTACTTGTTAAAGTTGGGCTAAAAAGGAGCTTATATACAGAGCCGTAAAACATAATATCAAAAAAAAATGTACGTAGTGGAATGACGACAGATTGATTTGATTAAACATTGAAAGACTGACTTATCTCCATTCGCATCACTTTTAATCAGTGCTGTCAGTTTGGGTGGTTACCCTTAAAAATTGGGGGATTTTATTGCAGTGGGGAAAATAAATGTTTAGGGTTTATGTCACATTAATACTAGGACAGTAGTAAGTTGGAAAATGGTCACGTTCTATAAAGATTGGTAAAACAAACTTTTTTAATTTTTTTTATCCTGCATTTTGAACAAAGTTTGGAGGTAAAGCAAATTGGTGCTCTGGCAACACTGTATTTGGTTTACGGTGTTGGTGTTGGGGCGAGGCTTGGTATTTTTGTTTTTAAATCTGAACAGATTTTATAAATTAATTCTATTCACAATATGTTGAACAAATATCTCAACTCTTTGTACTTTACAGTTTAAATATAATTTAGAAAACTATTTGTTATTCAAAATGAAGTATTTAATATTGTTCGCCTTTACCAGTTTAGTGAGGACTCAAACATTGGAACAAAATACATATACCACTAATTATCAGCAGCAACAGAAGCCGGAAGTTCTTAATCAGAACGGAACATCTTATAGACCAAATGTTCAGGTGCCCTATGGCAGTTTTCCAATCAATGCAAACGATTATGGTCAGTCACAGAGCTCGTTCTATCAATCGTCGGACGGATATAACCACGACTTTTACGGCGATGACATCAACGAGGTTGATCCTCAGGATAGTGCCGGTTATTACGCCGGCCTGGATTATGAAGAGAGGTACAGATGTCCACCACATTGGTTCCGTTATAGAGAGTCGTGCTACCGATTTACCAAATCACCAAGTCGCCCTCGAAATGAAGCACGAAAGATATGCCAAGCTTACGAAGCTGACTTGGCTGCTGTGAATAGCCCAGAAGAACATGGTTTCATACTTACTGTGTTGACAAGGATAGATCCTCAACGTGGAGACTGGTATATAGCGGGGCACCAGCAATCTCCAGGGTACTGGGCTAATGATGGCGATGGGTCACAGTTGACTGGTTTAGAGAATGCTTTCTTTGAAGATCGTGAATCTCTTTATACAAGCTACAATTTGATTCCTCGGGATTATTTAGTATATCATTTTTCTGAAGAAGCACACCGTTGGGGCTTATTAGCTGTGGATGGCATTCAATATACTCATTTTATATGTGAAGGACAAACTGAAAGGTTGCGGTATCTGCTTGAAGAGGAGAGGTCGTTTACTTATGGTTTGGAAACATTTGATCCAGAGAGGATACCAAGGGGTCCATATTTTATAACAGAACCAGTGGACACTATATGTGACCCTATGAGAAATCATCATGTTCAATTAGTCTGCATTGCTGGTGGATATCCAGCACCTGAATACAAATGGTACAGAGAAGATTATCAAGTAGACAGCCCTGTCTATACAGAAATAGATCCTTTGAATGATACTAGATTTATACTTAGTGGAGGTACTTTGATGATATATAATTTAAATGCAGACACAGATAATTCTAAATATCACTGCACTGCTACAAATAAGTATGGTACAATACGTTCAGAGTCTGTTCGTTTATCCTTTGGTTTTATTAGAGAATTTAACCAAAAAAGACCAGTTGAAAATGGAAATCAATACTGGGGTAAAGTAATGTTTTGCGATCCTCCTTCCTATTATCCTTCAGTAAACTTTTTGTGGGCTCGTGATTACTTCCCTAATCTTGTTGAGGAAGATAAAAGAGTCTTTGTGTCTTATGATGGTGGCCTTTATTTCTCTGCCTTAGAAACAATCGATAGAGGCAATTACAGTTGTAATGTAATGAGCAAGGTTTCTGATAATGGTCGAAATGGTCCATTTTTTAATCTTTTTGTTTATCCACATTCGGACTACCAGCATCTGAAATTTCCAAATAACTTCCCTAAAGTTTTCCCAGAAGCACCCACCGTCGGTCAAGAAGTTCGGTTGGAGTGTGTGTCTTTTGGGTACCCTGTGCCATCTTATAACTGGACAAGAAAGAATGGTCCAATGCCAAGGAAAGCAAGTTTCAGCAATTTTGACCGTGTTATAACAATTCCTAATGTTGGTGTAGAGGATGAAGGTGAATATATTTGTGATGTGAAAAATGACAGGGCTCGCATACAAAATTCTGTCATTTTAAAAGTTCAAGCTGAACCTAATTTTACTATCCCTCTGTCTGATAAACATGTTGACAATATGGGTGAATTGCATTGGAATTGTGAAGCTTTTGGCATCCCTGATGTTAACTATACATGGTGGAAGAATGGAAAGAAGCTCTCTATGAATACTCTAGAAAGTGAAGATAGAGATCGTTATGTGATTCAAGACAATGTACTAATAATCAAGTATTTGGATCCTCAGAGAGATCCAGGTATGTATCAATGTGAAGCAAAAAATCAATTAAGAGCCAGATATTCGACAGGACAACTTCGAGTTCTATCCTTGAAGCCCTCTTTTAAAAAAAAACCGCTTGAGTCAGAAACTTATGGCTCTGAAGGTGGCAATGTCACTCTTAGATGCAATCCTGAAGCTGCACCTAAAGCGAAATTTATTTGGAAAAAGGACAACATAGTGATAGGAGCAGGTGGTAAAAGATTTATAACTGAAACTGGTAATTTGATTATACGCCAGCTTTCTAGAGATGATGAGGGTGTTTATACTTGTGTTGCAAAAAATCAATATGGCACAGATGAAAGTCGCGGCCGACTAATAGTATTGCGAACACCAAGGTTCATAGATCGACTTCCGCCGCGAATAACAAGTCAAGTTAATCAAGTAATATTTTTGCATTGTAGTGCCGACATTGATCCTATATTAGACACCGCATTTTTGTGGAATCATAATGGAATTCGTATCAGGGATCCATCAGATTACTATGCAGATAAACGAATTCAAATGGATGGCGGCGAACTTACAATTTATAATGTAAGCTTATCAGACGTTGGTGAATACGAATGTATAGTGAAGTCAGCAATAGGTCGAATTTCGTCCCGCACACAGATACGTGTAGAAGGACCGCCAGGACCTCCAGGAGGTTTGCAAATATTAAACATTCAGAGGTCCTCAGTGTCATTTGAATGGACAGACAGTAATTCAAACGGGCGGCCAATCATGAGTTATGTCGTCACAGGTCGCACTCAGTGGAATTCCACGTGGGTTGTAATTAGCGACAATGTTCCGAACGTTAATGAAATAGACAGAAATAATGGTCGAAAACGTGCAACCGTATCTGCAGCTCTCTTACCATGGTCCGTATATGAATTTAGGGTTCAAGCTGTAAATGCTTTAGGAGAAGGTCAGCCATCAGCACCAAGTCCACAGTTCTCAACGTTGGCTGATAAACCTTATCAAGCTCCATCCAATGTCGGAGGTGGTGGTGGCAAGATTGGTGATCTTACAATAACGTGGACACCCTTACCATTGAAATTCCAAAATGGTCCTGGCATTCATTACAAAATATTCTGGCGTCGTAAAGGTGCAGAAGTGGAATTTCAATCTCTACTGCTCAAAGAATATGGTAATGTTGGAATGCATGTCGTTCATATTTCGTTGACATATTTCTTTACACCATATGAAGTTAAGGTTCAAGCAATTAATGACATGGGTACTGGACCTGAAAGTGATGTCGTAATGATATATTCTGCCGAAGACATGCCGCAAGTTGCACCGCAACAAGTTTACGCTTTGTCTTACAACTCCACGGCTTTGAATGTAACTTGGAATCCTATTGATCAGTCACGCGATAGGCTACGTGGCAAATTAATAGGTCACCGATTGAAATACTGGAAACAAGCCAACAAAGAAGAAGAATGTATCTATTATTTGTCTAGAACAACGCGTAACTGGGCTCTTATAGTCGGATTACAACCTGATACTTATTACTTTGTGAAGGTAAATACAATCGAATTGAAATTATTAATTTGAATTTAACTGTGCTTATCCAATTAATAAATAAAATGTTATTTTTAGGTAATGGCATTCAATTCTGCGGGCGAAGGACCTGAGAGTGAGCGTTACCTCGAGCGAACGTTCCGGAAGGCTCCACAAAAGCCCCCAGCGTCTGTGAACGTTTGGGCCGTGAATCCAAGTACAGTGCGCGTTGTATGGCGATATGTGCAACCCACTACCGAAGAAGAACCATTAATTGGTTATAAGGTAATATTATTTTAATAATTTTAGCAATGGTTTGATTCCTTTGAAAACCCTTTGTAAGGAATGAATACTTATTTACAAAATTAAAAACCTTGTCCATTAACATAGGAAATTGGGGGGGAAGGGGATATTAATAACTTTATTTCTAGGAAGGTACCACGTCAAGTTAACCTCCACGCGGGTACCCCTGGAAACTATAATGATAAATTCCTGGTGAATTCGTCGTAATGAGCTAATTCATCTGACTTCATACTCATTTTATTGTCCTCCACTGGTGCCCAGCCAGCGTTACAGCAAGAAATAAAGAATAAATTAGAATATTTTATCTAATTGGTGTTTTTGATCTCATACGTCTTATTAGTAAACGTGAAAGTTCTTGTATGTGTGTCCCCAACACAGGTAAGAAAGATTCCCAAACATGAAACCTGGATCGTGGTTCCTTTGGCAGGTAACAGGTAACAAAGGTGTAAAAAATTTTATATCAAATTCGTTATTTTAAGAAACTCCATATTTTCATTGTTCGTAGCATTATTATAACTTGCGCTGCTCATTGCCAGACACAGTGTTGTTCCAACCCCCCGCCGTACCCCCCTAACCTAACTATACTATTTTATAAATAAACTTACGTCATTTTAATAAAGCTGAACTTTATATATATTATTGAGAGAAGTATTAAACTGAGTTTCCTAAATTGCCAGACAGTTTTCTTGGTTCTTCATCCTACCAGACTCATTGAAACCGTATATTGGGTATATTCTCCATTATATACTCGTAGCATGTGGTTGATGTAGAATAAAAAAAATAGCCTAAATAACTAAGCAACCTAAGCCGGAACTCTAATACTTAAATATCTGCTTTTTAAGTCCTCATATGATCATAAATATAGAAAACGCCCGTACCGTTTTTTTATATTACGCTCTAGCTTTCCATAGAGTCCATGCCCTTTTGCATTTTCTTTTTCTACTTTCTTTCACCTTTTCCACAAAAATATATTAAGTATATGTGTGGTAGTGTAGGTTTTTTCAATTGATGGTGTTCCGAGGCTTTGGCAACCCATCCAGGACTGCGGTCGTGTCATGTCATGTCGGTGCGGTCATGTCGGGTCACCAACCCTCATAGCATCGACACTTACGATCCTTGGAGCTATTTTTCCTTCTATTGTAGCTGTGGTCCATGCCTCCAACACCATCATGAGATTATTGAACGTTGTTTGTTCGGCGTTGTCCAGTATTATTACGATTTATTTATGGATAATACTGCATTGTACTCCTGCTACTTGTGTATTGGCGAGCTCCTTAAATCTTTTTATAGATTACATATTAAAGATAGCAAATATTACTAGATTTGCTTATTTTTTCAGCGTTGTAATATCAACATAATATGTTTTCAGGTGAGAGTATGGGAAATTGACCAGGACATGAGTACTGCAAATGACACGCATGTGGCAGTGGAACACAAATTGGAGGCCTATGTCACTAACCTGACTCCAGGCAAGACTTACAATCTTCGCGTCCTGGCCTACTCAAATGGAGGTGATGGAAGAATGTCTTCGCCCGCTATCAGATTCCAAATGGGAGATTACCACAGTGACGCCTATGGTTTTTATGTTAAGGGCTCTGCAGACAGACGTAAGGGAATAGCAGTAGGAATACTCGTGTTTGTGTCAGTGATTGTATATTCTTATGATTGCATTTTCACGTGATGTTTGCTATAAGCATTAGATTAGTGATTTTTACTGTCGTCAGATATTATTGTTTCAAGATTACTAAGCACTTTACAAAATTTACATTCCACTTTTTTATATATCTTATGATTATTTTAGGTTGTGATACAATCCGGCCATTATTTATCTTGTTAATTTTCTATTATATTTATTGTCTATTCTTTTTAATTTCATCAATAACAATACTAGCTATTTAATAAATATTACCTATATTTATCACAATTTATTTAGGTGTCAAGAATACAAATGTTGAAACAATGTTTATAATAATAGTTATATATTGCTTTTGATGGATTGCACGAGCAGCTTTATTTTTTATTTACAATTTATAGTTAAGAGTATTCTACTTATATTTATAAATTTTATATTTTTTATATTGTAATTATATTATTATTATGTCTTTATTGACAATAAGTAATTTAAGAATACGAATAAGCATTTTGATATATTCTATGATTCTAGTGAGAAATTGCTTTATAATGTCTTTCTTTTTTAGGCTACTTTAAATAATAAAAATTATCTTTTTCGAAAGGTCTAAGAAACGTAACTATATCTTTAAAAACACAAATAAAAAGCAACTATGTAAAAGACTAAAAATTAACAAAATATTTGCGAAAAAAAAGTCGTAATTCGAAATAGGTCAGTATTTTAGAAAATTAAAAAGTGCCAAATGTGACAAATTTCTTAAACACACTGCAAGGTTGTTTTTATTGTATTATTACATTTTTTATTATTTTCTAATAATGAAAGATATAAGTCACAATTTCAATTCGCAATAAATGGTTTCTCTTCAATGGAACCACTTTCACATAATGAGTTATACATTTCTTATTTTAACAAATTATTTCGAAAGAGTGGAAAAATATTAACGGCAATTATTTGTGTTTCCGAATAGTAAAAGTACTATATTTTTTAAAAAAATTGGCTCGATAATTAGCAATTTTGAAGTAATTCACTTCTCACTAGAGGCACAGAATTAATATAGAATAGTTTTTAGTGTATGGGCTTTTCACATAACGCCCGATATAGTCCTTATATTTATTAGGATTATCAATATCACAAATGTTTTAGATATTACTTTAAAATAAAATGAATCTCAGGTTATTGTTTATTGTATAGTACCATCAATCCGAGCCATTTTCTTGATCTGAATAGTATGTAAGCTATATCAACCAGTGTGTATATACATAGTACAAAAGCAATAAATTTCATTAGAGACATTGTTGTTGTAAACAAACTAAATAAATTGCCTTATGGATGTTGAAATTTTGTACGTAAGCAACTGTTTTCAATAAAATGTATCACTCGAATGACAGCTGATTTATATTGTTTTATTTATAATGATATATATATATATATATATATTGGTGCGTGAAAAATACTTTATACCCTTTTTTACGAAAATTGGGCGTATGGAGGAGTTTTTATTCCTAATTTCGCACACATTCAGTGCAGAAAACTATTGTTTTAAGAAACGCATAAAATATACATTAGTTAGTAAAATAAAAAAAACATACTACCATGTATTTGACTGTATGTCTTTAATATTCTTTGTCTATAATTTTTGACGATAGAATCTTAATTATGTTCAAACTATTCATAATTTAAGTTCCTAATTATGGTCGAATTTCGACCATTGGGCGACCAGTAGAAATAATAAATACAATTATAGAATCTAATTTATTATAAGGAACAAACTTATGACTATTATATAAATTTATGACAAAATAAACGGAAATAAATGTAATCGATCTTACTTATTAATTTTTATATTTAACCTTCCGCTTTAAACATTTTGCATCTAATTTGTCAAATAACTCTGTATTGACGGAATTTTTCCTCTTTAGTAAACTATTGCCTTCTACAGGCTGCGTTTGTTTCAATGGCAGTAATCCCACTGCGAATGGGATATCATCTTCCAAAGTTGAACTAATGGTTTCAACCGTATCTGGTTGCTCAATTTCCTTTCCCATTATATTATTTGATTTATTTTCTATACCGCTCCATTGATCCGAATTGTCGTTGATAGACTTGGTCAAGTCGATTACAGTATTTTCAACTACTGGGGAAATATTCTCAATATTTTTAATGGTTTCATGATTTTTATTAATATTTTCTATTTGATTTTCATAGCTCTTATTGTCAATATCAATATTATGCCAATCTATACCACTAGCATTAATGTCTACATCCGTTTTTCTCTTCGTTGCAGTTAAATTGTCAGATTCAAATTCCATAGTAGTATTCAAGGACCTGCAATTGTAATCTTTAATGTTAGAATCGATATTGATTTTATTTATATCATTAAGGCCATTATTTTGCGCCAGGGTATCTTCTATATTCATTAAATCTTTTATAATTTCATCTCTTTCCTGTGAATTTATAGCACATTCCTGTTGATTATTACTGTCAAAAGTTGTACCGTCAACATCTGTTTCCTTCGGCGTAGACATTAGGCAGTCTAATGCATCATCTTTAAAATCAGTAGATTGTGGCAGCTGCAAAGCAAAGTCATAACAATCATCATTTCTTCTTAAATCAGGATTATATTGTTCATTCAAATGATTGGTTTTTGAATCTAATAAGGAAATGCTAAAGTTGGTATCTAAGCTTGTGCTTGTGGGACACAGTTGCTCAGCATCTGTCGTGCTATTTAGCTGTTCATCTTCATAATATTTTTTTATATCGTCACTCATAGATTTGGTGAAGAACTGCATGTCACCATCAATACATGAAAAATCATTAGTATTCACTGTTTCTATTGAGCTATTATTGTCTTGAAGACGAGGATCCATAACTACATAGCTTTGTTGTTCAGTGAATGACTCCAAATTGTCAGGTAATATAGCATTTAAACTATTAATAGCGTCTTCATGACTAAATTGTTCAGTTTCTTTAGTTATTATAGGTGTCGAGGGATAACATTTTGAGTTCAGAAGCATTTCACCTCTTTCTATTGATTTAGAGAGATCATCAATGCTCTTGATTTCACTCGGATCTACAACTTTTTCTATTATGTTTGGCTGTTCTATTACTTCATATTGTATCTCACTACTTTGAACCATATCTAGAAGCACTTGTTCATTAACATTGATGTACGATCCGTCTCCAGATTCGAACAATATTGGTAGATCTGTTGGTAGTCCCGCATTTTTGAGGGCGTTAACATATTGTGACATAGCACTGCTAATGCCATTATTAGTAGTATCATTTGTAGAGCTACATGTTGGAGTAGTCGAGTAACTTGAAGTTATTGTATCGGTTCCTATAGGGTCTTTATTATAGCCAATAGAAGGATCGAGAACATTAGAGGAAACCGCTTGGTCCATGTATATAAGATCGTTTTCAAGATTCATGTAGTTGTTCGATGTGGACGTTTCAGGGCCACAAATGCTGCTGACTGCCTGAGATAACGATACTCTATCCATAAAATCCTGAAATGATATGATTGTGTTTTACTTACTGATTGGCACAATGCAGGTACAGGGAGATATTTAGTCTGGAATAAATATGGTTCAGATATGTAGACTGTTTATACAAATAGAGTAAGTGATATTATAGGTTTTGCCACTTGGATTTTTGTACGCTTTAAAGAATAAGGTATGAAATGAGATATATGGTAAATTCACCTGCATGTGCCTGTTTTGTAAATGTTTAAGATGATGTATGGCTTTCCGTGAATCCTGCTCCCGACGGAGAAGTGCGCGTTCTGCGGCCCGTCCCAATACTCCAGAGTTATCCCAGCCTGATCGTTGCTAAAATATAATCAAGATAACAGAACAATTCTATGACGAATTGTCAATTAATTAATGAAATTGTCTATGAATACGTTTTCTATGATCTTTTGTGTCTTTTGTTTACATAGTTATATTGTTACAATAATACCGTTTTTCCTCTTTGTCAATCTTTTTCTGTTACTCGTGAATGGGTAGGTACTACTTGTAAGGACTGGTCTAATCTGAATGCTTTATTTTGTTAAACGTTTATGTTTAATAATTCACTCTTATAAAATAGCGCTTTTATTAATACAAAATATTATTAATATAAAGTTATACAACATTTATTAAAAAAACGACGGTCATGTTACTCCTTTTTTGGTAAAATCTGCATTCAAGAGTGGTAGAATAAAAAAGATACTATTCAAAGGTAATCTATTTAAAATTTCTTTTAACGTATGGATTCCTAGTAGTCGAATTGAGAAACTCTTACAATAGTGTGGTTGAAAAGCATTTCTATATTTTTTATTAATAATTGTAGGTACATTAGCTATTACGCCTATTACTTTACAAGCTTCACTTTTATGAAGATGAAAGCAAATTTATTGTTTTATAATAATCATAATGTATTTTACTTAGATTTCGTAAACTGACCCTTACGCTAGGGCGGCCACGCCTCGGTTTGCTGGCTCTCGGTCCCTCAGGATAGTCTGCACCGGATGACGCATTGTTACCATTTTCGATATCGAATGGAATACGCACCACCATATCCTACGAATATGACCACCGTTATCGAATTTTCAGACTTACAGTAAACTAGTTAACCGCGATTTCATCTACATTTCATGGGATGAAAGTAATTAAATAATTTTATTTTGTTATTATAGGTACATAAAATATGATGTCAAATTACCATCAACCAAATTGTTATTCAAAATAATTATTTACTAAGATAATTAAATTAAGCATAAACAATCAAACAACTGTTATATTAGAAACTAAAATTAAATATTATTACAATGTATCGAAAAATTTATTCTTGAATTAGCCTATGTTAAATAAATTAATCGTGTTAAATTTAATTAAAGCGTTTAGTCGAGAAAATATAGACACTCGTATTAACAATATTAGCTGAGGTATCAGTATAGAAGTATGGGTGATAAAGTATTAGATTTCTGAAAATAGATTTATCCTGATCTATAAAAATTACGAAATTTTTTAGAGTTTTATGGCTTGATTTCTAATAATAGCTTAACCAATATTTTATAGTAGAATAATGGCGCCCGCGACTTCGAGTTAATGTACATTCGGAGACGCCATCTATTGACTACAAAACAAATGACGAAAGTACCCAAATAAATCTACATACGTATTATGTGAAATTTTGAAACATGCAGATGGTATTTTTCACGATTTTACTATTTTAATTAAATCCGTATTAATAATTTAATTTGATTAAAACGTTTTTGAAATTTTATTGACTAAATCGAAATTCTTTTCGATTGGAGGAACTATGAAAGCTTCTGCTTTCATAGTTCCAGTACAGAATACAGACATTTTTACCAATTTCATATAGCAATTCCAACATTACATAAGTAATTTTTTTAATTACCTTGTTAGGACATCCCATTGAGTCTACGGGTTGGTTTGTACATGTCGTCGGGGGTAGAGGCTGTGGGGGTTTCGGGTCGGAGTCCTTACAAAAAAATCAATTCACTAAGTAGGTACATACTTATTATATACAGTAAATTTTATTAATCAATTATTAGCAATAACTGAATAATTATTGTATATGAAAGAATTTAATTTTAGTATTGTCACAGACAATAAAATATTACATAGTGCTATGCTGTCTCTGCCTATAGGTATTACAAGATACCTAAAGTACCGTGAAAATACAATACCTGTGTATGTAAATCGATAAATGACTGTGGAGGTCTGTTTATCACTACTGGCGGAGTGAAAATTGGTAGTTCATCTAAAATGGAATGATACGAAAGAGTCATTATATTATTTGTAATTGTTAGTTAGATTCATTCTAAAATCAGTCATACTGCTCACCTCATTCTACTAAACATACTTAATAGTATAATCAATATAACGTTGTTGCATTAACGTGAATTAGCGCATCGGATAATATACGCTACCGTATCACCAATAAAGGATGAAAGGATGAAAATAAAGTTAGGTCAGTTAGTCCATCGTGGTAGATTCACCAGAAATTACCTACGACACTTTCCCGGTGTTATTTGAGACGTTACATTAGTTCCGCAGTATGTATACTGAATTACGAGTCTACGTCATCATGGCATCTTTGAGGATTCCTGGGTACTGTACTCAGGAAGGTACATTTATTTCATTTTCAAACCAAATTCTTTCAGGGGGGAACTTTAAGACCACTTTGTACATTTAACAACAATGTTTAGATTTTGCCAAGCTAAAGAGAGAAGTCACTACACGTCCTATGTGGTTGTAGGCAGCTCATGCATAAACGAAATATCTTCTTTGGAAAGTATGCATTCTATCCAGAGGAGATAAAATTTATCATTCCATCGCTCAATTATCGGTCTAGGTAGCGAACTTTGAAAGGGCGCGCACAATAGATCTATACAGGTCACAGTGCTAACACCGAACCCTTTCAAACCCAAACCCAAATACCCTTCAATAAAAAAAAAATAGTACACTTAGCAATATCTCAGGTCAATCTCCACATTGGAAACCATCGTGGTTAATTTCCGGTGAAATAAAGCATACCACTACAGCATTCCATTATCATTAATTAAAAATTACATTTTCTTTCTCTCCCTCTCACACACTCTGAAACGTATCGCCTCTCTTCTAATTAATTTACACAACAATAAATTAAATAGACAATACTAACCAGTATTTGATATACCAAGACCTTCCTTGGTCACTTTAGAGAGACCTTTGATTTTTAGAAACTGCGCCGCAGAGACTAACTCGTCTAAATTCTCCTCCAAGCACTGTGTTTTGCCGCAATACATAAATTCGACCAAACACTTCAATACACTAAACCGCATTTTTAATATTATTAGTGGCTCTCCACTTTGTTTTTGCAGTACTTCCTGGTGAAAATGGTATAAATGGTATATAGATATAGAAATTAAAGTTTGTGATTCTAAATAGCTTTGTTAGCGGCATTGTCATTTTAAATACACATATTTATAATTATTATTTATTTATAATAAAAATTAACTATAAAAAAATATATGAAAAATCGTTAGTAAACTTCTGTAAACATTTACGCATGCTGTGGCAACCAGTAATTAAGTTAACATTTTATACCTCAACTTCTTATGTAATTATAAAATTAATTTAATTAAGTATATATCTGGAATATATTTACCTGGAAATAAGCACTACTTGCAGCGAGAACTGCTTTGTGAACACGTAGAGTGTGTGAGCTACACATAAGTGTCATATCCACCATCGACTGCATTTGCAAAAGTTTTCCAAATCTCGACATTAAATGTTCAGAATAATCCTCATAATGCAGACTATATCGTATTGGGGCCATTCCAGGAAATATATATCTTAAACATACACATGTAATTCATGAACTCGTCTATGCAAATGAAGCATGACAGGTTTACAACTGTGAGTGACAGTCCAACTAAACAAATGAATGCTGAAATAATTTGCAGAAATCTTTTTAAAAATTAAATAAGTTCTATCCGCAGACTTGATATAGATATAAAAAGTGGAAAAATTGTTGCATTATTTTTTATCTCTTAGTTAAGTTAGTTAATATTTTTAATATTTAATAATAATCTTTGTATTAATAATTATACATGTTTGTAATATATTTATCACAATAGGACGTCACTTACTACTGAAAAATAAAATGAGTTGTGTTTTGGAATGTTTTAATTATTAAAAAATTCAGAAAAAACATAGTAAATTGTTAGAAAATGAATTTATTACAAATTTGTATTCATCTTATTAGAGTAACAGAAAAATAGAATAATTAAACTAAGGTATAAGAATAGAGAATAACAGATATTTTTTACTGTAAAAACATATTCTATCACAGACTAATTAAGTACAGAGGAATGGTGTTTCTGCTACTACTGTAGGTATACGTACGATATTCATCAGATCATATTCGCCAGAATAATTTAGTCATAAAGGAATAAATTATTAAAAATTATAAGACAGACACACATACAGTTAACGAATTTTACATACTTAAAATTACAAATTTAATATCAGTTTTGGAATGTAACTAGGAATGCAGTGATTTGTTCATAAGGCACTTTGAACTAATACAGTAAGATCATAGTCGGAGTCTATAGTTAGTATTGAAAAGTTTAATCTTTTAAAATTAATATTTCAAGTGTTGAAGAGTTTCTTTCAGACATCCTGTAAAATCTAATATAATTAATCAATTAATATTTTATAAACTACAAAACCATTTTATAGTTCAATAGATAGAATCTAATCACATTTATTTTGAAATACATAAATAACACGTATTCAAGTCAATATAGTACAAAGTACAAGGAAGAATTTTAATAGCTCTACGTACAAATAAAACTTCGAAGTGAGATTATAGCTACCCACAACTTTTATTTACAGATAAATGCGTTTAATCTTGCAAGCAGTAGGTAGATATTCCTCATAAAATACAAATTTGTAACACCTCCAATACTTTTAGTATTGTTTTAGAAATGAGTTTCTATACAATAGCTTTTTATGTTTTTACCCTTACCTCCCTACGACAAAGCTCATAAACGCTGTGCCACAGCCGGAAAGCTTTTGCGATACATTCGCACGAGTCATAAAATACTGGAACACATTCCTTTTAATATCTGAGACAGAAATATTGATAGACAGATGTATTAAATTAACTTGAAATGAAATATACACCTTTCGAATTAATGTTAATAAAACCATAGTACACTTATTTTTTCTAAATAAAACGGTAGGTATCACAAAGACATTTTTAGGCGGGAACAAAATATAAATTCTTTTTGTACCTAACACCTAGACAGCGTATTAACAATTATTTAGTTTATTGGTAATTATTACTATATGCACTACTATATTGTCACACTAATAAATTGAATAAAAAAACTCTATCCCAGATATTGCAGAACACAAATTATTTAGTAAAATTATCATTTCATTTAATTAACATACGTACAGCGTTATGGAGTTAATTTTACTTAAATATTTTTTATTGTATGTTAGTGTTAAATCCAATAAAATGATAGAAAAATATTTATTGATAAGACAACGTTAAAGTTTTTATTTATATTAATTTTTGTATAGTTGAAATATAAGATGTCAGATAGATAAAAATGTTAATATAATAATCAATTTCAGTAACAGAAAACGTAATTAAATTAATTACCAGATATACACCTATTTATAATAAGAACAAGAGTAAGTCTGTGCAAAATATGCATATTCCACATTTAAATACTATTTTTTTAATTAGGTACATCATCGTAACGTTAAAAAACGTACCTCACCGTACCGTACGGATCACAGATTAGATTAAAGAAGTTGCGAATTTATTCAAGATGGCCATGAAGCTAGTAAAAATATTTTTACTTTTATGCTTTATTTTTTATTTATGTTGAAATCATTATATTCAACTATACATAATTAACCATATTAGTAGATTTTTTCTTAATATGATGTACTTTTGTTCGATAAGTTGACCGATTGACTTTTTAATTGACAACCATCTAAAAAAATGTTAAACTTAAAAATAAAAAATAATACGTATTTATAGAAATTATAGAAACCATCGATATGTAAATTTGAAGAATATATACTGGTAATATATATAATACTCCAATATGCATGTGTTATTTACTTACGGCGATTTGAATTTGATCCTGATTTGAAATTTAGCTTGCTGGGTGCTTACTGAGCGGTATTGAGATATCCTTTCTATTGATTTTCCAAGCGTTCATATACTTCAGTATACATATCGATGGGGTAAAGTATAACATAATCTTATATGAACACTTTACACAGGTATGAGTAAATTTGTACAATACATAGCATGTAGAAAAAATAGAGATTCATTTATAGAGATCGTTCAGTGAAACCAGACCATTGCCAGCCCCTCTCTGCGCCTCTGTCACCCCCATCTCACCATTACACGACTATAAACCTACGACCACGTGTTTTATCGTTAAATATTTTCTTAATGTATATTCCGTCGGAAAAATAGATATCAGGATATGATTGTGCGATATCGAGACAGTTCCGTAAAATATGCTATTATTGTAACTAAACTGTACATCACCATAATAAAGTCGAACTAAAGTATTAAATAATTACATATAATTCATAAGACTTGAGATTTATTACTTACATCTTATAACTATTATTAGGTATGTACTTTTAAAGACTGAGCAATGGCCTGTTTCAGTGGCTGGATACATTCTAATATTAAAAGCAAATTACAATATTTACACGAGCCGACATGTTACATCTTGCGGATATCTAATATACACATAATCATTGTTCATATAAATAACTTTACAAAGTTATCATTTAATTGGAATGTTTCAATTATCGATAATATTTAAGAACTCTTCTGGAGAGATGAGTTCGTCGCCTGGCGGTGAGTCCGAAGCGTTGGGGACGGTGTTCTTGAGTTCGCCGAACGTGTACGTTGTTCGTTTCTTGCTGGCTCGCTGGTTACTGGCGCGCGGGGCAACCGGCAGCGACGCTTCACAGTCTAAACTGGCGCGTTTATTCCAACAGAAAGGTTGACGCGGCTCAGCGCCCGCCGACATTGGCATCGCCATATGTACACGAGATTTACACAACTCATTGTCACTAAGTTGTCGTTTTAACTTATCTTTCCCCACAACTAACTGGAAGCCCCTTACCGCACCATCAACAAGCGATTTATCCAGTTCTTTTTCGCTTAACTGTCTTTTTAATTTGTTACTGGCTTCGACAGGACTAGAACGTGATGGTTTATCGACTAGACTGTTCTGTCGCGTTCTGCTTCCTTGGTTCATTGGACGAGAGATAGAACCGCCTTTTAGAGCTCCTTCATGACGACTACTGCCCGAAGAATTACTTGAATTAGTGTTACATTTGTTTGCGTCATTTTTATTATTTCCTCGCAACGATTCTATAACGCTATAGAAATGCTCGAGTTCACTATTGCTGTTATTCCTAGACCGGCTCAAATTGTTTGTACTATGTCTATGTGGGCGGATTTGAGCACGAGGCAGGTGACCGTAACTACTCTGTCTCGATATACCGACGCTGGTCTGCCGCCGTGGCATGCTACAACTCTTTGGGACAAACGCATCTTGAGATAAAAGTATATTCTCGTACACGTGAGCGTTGTCGAAGTCCTCATGAGATATGAGATTCTGACGACTTTCTGTGGTTTCATTCTTTTGTCCCACTGAGTTGCTCTTTTTGTGCCCATTACGAATCTTCGTATCGGATACTTTTTTCATTAATTTACAATCACTGGCACTTCTAGGTAACAAATTGGCATACCCATGATCTACTTTTTCTTTGCTTTGGGCTTTCTCAATTTTAGGACCACTCGTAATGTTTTCTACAATTCTCGTAGAATTTGAATGCTTCGGTACACTTGTTTTATTGTTGGATGGATTTGACTTCGGTACATCAGCAGAACAAGTTTGCTGTTGTATAGCTTCATGGCGTTTTCTGTCTACGTCGGGTTTTGATGATTTATCAAGAACAATCTTTGTTTTGTCGCTTTTGCATATTTTGACACTAAATCTAAATGGAGGTTTAAACACTACTTGTAGTCGGGCTTTTTCTCCAGAAAGGAGATTACTCGCACTCTTGGATGGTCTAGTTTTTCGTGTCCCTTTTTGAACTTGTCTATTTGCGTGTGATCTTTCTGTAAGGCCTAATGGTATTGATTTGGATTTAGGTATAACTGTGGGTTGCGGCGAACTCAAAAGCCATTTTTGTACTTTTGTTAAAGCCTCAGTATCTTTAGTGGGTGACGAGGGATGTTTCTGCATAGAACTATAGTCAATTGTTTCTTTCTTCATTTTCGTTTTGCGTTTCTTAACCTTGCCTTTATGTTTCGATAAAATTATATGTTTAGGAGATTTTCCTTCCGCATTCGTAACGATTGCTGTATTTTCTTTTGCGACTTTATGATTTTCCTCTAGTTTTGGCTGTGCACTTGGTTTCTAAAAATAAAACATAATAAATAATTAATGGATTTAGAAAATGATTGAGTAGAAGAAAGTATAAATTAAAATATTTTCTTACCCTCTTCTTATTAATAATGTGAGATGGCGATGCCTTGTCTCCTTGTTTCTTAAGTTCCTTCTTATTGCGATATGCTCTTGTCCGCAAGGCGACTTTTTTCTTAAGAGGAAGTTTAGATCTGTAACAAAGCGTATTGTTCCAAGTAAGATAGATAGATAGCCATAATAAATTCTAGAATGCCACTGCATTAAGGAGTATCAGTATTGGTGTTAATTTTATTTTGCATATTGATCATAGCTATTATAATTTAATTTTAACCTTCAGTACCTTCAAGCATCAGTTCTCACAAACAGTGCCATGTTTTTTATAAATTACATATTTGCTCGAACAAATATCAATATAATTAGATATATTGTCATTTAACCTGATGTTTATCCAAATTTATTAATTAAAAACATAAAATCAGCAAATAATAAGCTTCATACAGGTATAGCAATAAGTACAGAAGTAGTAATAATAAGCTTATACTGATACCGTACCTGTATAAGCTTATTATATACATATATATGGTCGTTCGGTTCAACACTTTTTTCTCTATCACTTAACAAGACCTACTTACCACAGTGATGATAATTAAATATTTGGTCTTACCTGACAGCCGTATGCACGATCAGACCTTGGTCATTGGTATCGGGGAGACGGACGGTTTCTGTTGTGGACGAGTGGATAATGGTCACAGACTTCAATTTTTTACCATGTCGGCCCAGGAAACGGGTGCTTGCAAACTGGAACAATAAATGCTATATATATTCGACTGTAAGTTTAATATACGTAAATTCATGTACTTCTATGATTGGATAATTCAGAGAATCCTTTCTAAGTGGGACGATTCGTCGTAAATATTAATAATAAAGTTATTTATTTGTACATACAATATAAATTAGAACATATGTAAGTAAAACAAAATATATAATTTACCTTTCTATCATTAGTAGTACTAATAGTAGTAACTGTACTATACTAATAGTACAGTAGTTATACACTTTCTACCTAGTGTATCTAACACTGAGTAATAAAATGATAGAAAGTTGAATACTCGTAACTCAATGTGGAGAACCCAGATAACCTAAACTAAGTATTACACCTGTGCCATAGCTATCAATGCTCTCTTGTAACTTTAAATTAAATATGTTACTCTCTGGCCAGATATACATAATATTATCTACATAACATATCACAAATTATAATGAAAATAATAATATTATGTGAATAACATCTTCATAAGTGTGATCTGTCTTCTTCGTCATTCGTAATGATGGCTAAAAAAATAATGAAATAGCATATATAGCATCCTTACTGATAAAAAATATCATGTAATAGCATACATAACACACTCAAACATTATTACTTAATCTTATACTGAACAGACTATACCTTCTTTGGTCTGTTCAGTAAATAAGGGAGGAGCTTTTAACACAGCTTTCATAAAAAAGTGTATATAATTTCTAGCACTACAATAGCCTACTACTTAGCCTATTTATTCATGATTACCTTGTAACACTGAAAATTATTACGTAACACTAACTTTTAGTGTCAATTTCAATTGATCTGTCAAGAACTATACAGCATCGCTACAGAAAAAAGAAATATAATATGTACCATTATATAACATAAATCCAATAAATTAATGCATGTAGGTATAGAAACATCACATTCGGATTTATTTTTATATTTTGGGTTATATGAACTTATTGCAAAATATGGTTCAAATAATTGTCTACCTACTAAAACACATAAACTCAAGAACGTTGAATTAAGTTCGGAATCTGTTTTGTAATAATAAAGGGTTACATTCTAAGGATAATAGAAACCAAGATCATCGGTAGTCCAGCACACTTTGTTTAACTACTAGTAGTTGAACAAAGTGTGCTGGACTTGATGCTTCAAGTCATGAGCAAAAACGTTATGTCGATTTATATTATTGACTGACTCTTCGTGGAAAGACCACAATCACGATACTAATCCGAGAAACAGTGGTAGGCTGTAGAATATATTACCTATAAATAATTTAATAGAAGTAGGCCGTAGAAACAAATATATGGTAAATATGCTCGGTATTTTTGATCCAGCCTTGCGTTTACTAATACATCGATAATGACTCTGACAACCCCATACGAGATAACAGTCATTCATTCATTTATAATTTAAGAGTCACGCTCTTGTCGGTGGCGCCCTTGCAACTTTCCACGATCTGTATATTTCAATTTTGTCTTTTAATTTCTTTGGTATAACCGTGTCTTGGTCTTCCCCATACATCCCATAAATAGGGCCCCAAGTGTCCCAATATTTCCCCTCCATTATCTTCAATAGTATCCAATACGTCTTTCCTTACACCCTACGCAGTACTTCTTCATTTTTTACTTTATCTTTCCAGCTAATTATTTCAGATAACAATTCGAATATCCATCGTGAAGCTATATTATTACTTCTGAAACTTACCAATAGAACAATGACAGCGAGCAGTATCAGCAGCACAGCATACCAGTGGCGCAGCATCCAGCGCTTGAAGCCGGCGATACTCTCATCCGAAAGCAGCAGCTTGCGGAGTGTCGCCAGCGGACCTGATGGGTCTACTTCGCGGCATCGTTGGAATACGTCGCAGTAACTAGAACATTTTGAAATAAATTAAATTATTTTTAATGTACAGTCAACAATAAAGACCTGGATGTTCATTACGAATTTGAACGTCTCCTGCTACGCTGGATTAAACAATACGCAGAAATATGTGAGTACGTGAAGTGTTTCGTTCACCATGAAGTCGATAAACGATAATGCCTCTAACTATGGGATAATTCCGGGATAACAGCCGTAACGGTAAGTTTATAATATGAATTTGGATATTCAGAAATTATTTCCAATTTAGAGGCTCGTTGAGGAAACATTTTTACATTAAGAAATCTTATAGTAGAATTTCGTTTGTGTTTCGTTCACCATGAAGTCGATAAACGATAATGCCTTTAACTATGGGATAATTCCGGGATAACAGCCGTAACGGCAAGTTTATAATACGAATTTGAATATTCAGACATTATTTCCAATTTTGAGGCTCGCGTGAAAAATTTTTACATTAAGAATTACTATAGTAGAATTTCGGTTGTGATAACTCTATTCATCGTTAATAAATTATTTGAAAAAAAAATTTGTTACTCGTTTATAAGAAAAATATTTGAAACTTGACGATTTCGGTTGTAGCGGTTTAGCACACCACTTTACTTCCGATGGTCTCGGGCTCAATTTTCTCACAATACAAACATTACCTACTATTTATGATTAACATTGTTTGGTTGGATGTTCTCTATATACCTACATCATATATTAATTATGTATTTACAAAAAAAATCTTTAATTTATATAGACTTCATAGTACAAGATCTGCTTAGTTTAGAACTAGATGGATGTGAATTGTCGTGGGTTATTATTATTGTTTATAAAAAAATTTTTTCCTAATGAAATAAAAAAGAAAATATATTTCATATATAGGTCAATAAATGCATCTTACCCATTATAATCATTACACGGCGTGCCAGGCTTGGCATACATATCTGGCACATCGTATGGCGGCGTATTCCATTGGAAAGAGGAAAGGCAGGGACCTCCAGGTTTGCGGCAGCACAACTCGCACGCTGACCGTGCGTCGTCTTTCCTTGGCGCGCACTGGCACGACTCCAGACCGTACGCGAGGCATATAGATCCAGTGCATTCCTAAATTATATTGTATATTAAAATATATATTTTTATACGATTATTTATCGAATTGTTATGATTCTGTTGGCCGTAGCTGGCCTTTAGAGTGTAGCGCAGTGGTTATCACCTTACCACTGTAGCGTTATATATGATGTAATGAGGTATCGCTATTTTATTTATTTATTTCCAGTAGTATAGTAGTCGATAGATCACTATCTACTTACTAATGTAGTTAATTATTACAGATGTAATAATTGATTACATTAGTAAATTTATTTGATAGTGTGCTACGTGGCTTATTAGTAACGAAACAGTTCACATAACACTCCGTGTTGAGTGTACAACGCGGTGTCGTAATGTGGACTATTTTACATTGAACTTTAATCTAATTTGTGTGCAGACATAAACAAATGATAGGGTGCAGAGTGTTGAAAGAAATATTACAAGTGTAGGCACCACAGCTTCCAAAAATGGGGGCGACTGCAGGATGCACTCCAAACACGCGGAGGAACTTATGAAGCGGCTGAAGATCAACTCTTGACAGTTAAGATTTTAGTCTAGATCTAATGGCACCACTAGGAGTTCGAACCTTCAGGCAACTGAATTTTTCATTCAAGTTTGAGTGTGTTTAGGGACCGATCGGAAAACTATATGCTTTCGAGGTATGTACGGAGCATTGAGTACTATTAGATTCTTACAAACAATGAATTTAAAAAAAATACACATTAAAATGTTGAAACTTATAATTTTATTATGGTTGAATTTCGAACACTGGGCGACAACTAGTACGCATAATTTCCACTAGTATATCGTGTGATTAATTCTACAATTTGGTATACGTACTCCCATATAACAGACGAGCTCCTTGTCACAGCGCGTGCGGTTGGGCTTGTGCCTGCTGGCGGGGCAGGCGGCACGTTTGCCATCGCAGTGAGCCGCGTCCCGACAGCCATTGTCCGAACGGCATTTGTCGCCAAACTTGAGTGTACATGACGCCGTACAGCACGGGCCCTGTGGAGTCCAAGTCATCATATTTTATTAATAGATCTGCCGTATATTATTTATGTAACTGTAAAAATACTTATCGTCAACGTACAACAAGATGTAGAGTGCGCGCACCCATACACTGTTGACATCCCTGCTGCATGAACGAACCGTTTTGTATCATCTTTCCTTATGGGAGCAGCTAAGGAGTGGAACTCTCTACCGGCGTCTATTTTTCCTACCTCTTACAACATTGGGTCTTTCAAGTCAAGAGTCAAGAAATTTAAATATAATAAATAAAAACGTAATATTTGTCATAAATTACTTAGTATTCATTATTAAGAAAGGTTAATCTCTGCAAAGATTTCACTGTATAGCAAACGGTATAATCTCTGATCCTTGTATTCCGTAATTTCCCCATCCTATCTCTAAACTGGAATATAATCTATAAAACATGCTGCTAACAACGGCTATACTGAAATTGAAGTGTCTGTTTGTAATTCAAATTAACAGCTTTTCACTAAATGCATATGAAATTATATACGATATTTATATAAAAAATATATTGAATAATTATTGTCTTTCTGTTCTTGGTAATCTTTAAAACGGTTGACCCATTTTGTTTGACTTTCACTATCAAATAATTAATGTTATAAGAAGATATATACTCTACTTTTATTTTAGATTTTTTTATTCAATAAATAAAAGGATTTAATTCCACAATCTTTATTTGTCTCAAACAATAACTGATACAATTGTTGCCCATACAATAATAAAATTTAAAAGTAATGAAGGAGACAAAACGGTCTATAACTCAGAGGGGGCAATGAGTCTACTCTCTCTGCTATTCTGTTATAGCCTTTACCAGTAAATTAATACAATAAGAGATCGACGACGACGACAAAATACAAATGTATCATATATATACTATATGATACATTTGTATACTTGATTACTTTCTATCAACATATAAAACAAACCTCTACAACTACAAAGAGTATAGGTATGATGGTATCTTATGAAAAATAGATTAAACTACGATTACATACCTGGCTGGGGCTGCAAACGCTGTGCTCTGTGAGCGTGCAGGGCTTATAGTGCGGGCGGGCGGCCTGCGGGCGGCAACATACATCCGTGCATTCGGACGCCCAACCGCAATCACACTCCTCGCCTTCTTCTACCACACCGTTACCGCAGATTGCTGGCTGTGGTTCTGTAGAAAAAGAAACGCCTCAAGTTAATCCAGTTATAAATGCTTAATCAGTTAAACCTCGGCCATCTCTCAGACAAGTCTACTAGTCAATGCAACACTGAAAACTTAGCAGGCGGACCACCGTTACTTAATAATACTTGCTGTTAACGGTAGCCGTACAAAGTTTCACCCTCTATTCCACCTTCTCTAGATTATTTTTGAAATAAAAGATAGTTCGTCATCGTAATGCCCAATTTTATATCAAATTTAATTAAGATCCATTCCGTTTAATCGCGAAAAGGTATCAAATAGTCGATCAGATACACTTTCTGATTAATGACATTAGTCCATACTATTACGATATTATGTTCTGTACTTACGATTGTAATTATATTAGATGTAAGTACCAATTGAAGTGATTATTTTTACTTTCAAATTAACAGCTTTTCATTAACTGCATATGCAAAATCTTTGAAGAATGAAATCTTATCATAATATGTAAAACTGATAGTTTCCTACTAACCTGTAAAGCAACCTTTGGATGATCTGGCCTTATTGTTCAGTACCGGGTCGATTGCTCTGAGCGAGCACGGTGAAAACTTATTGTTGTTCTTTCGGTCGCCGCTGGTGGCGCGCGCGAACATTATATAATTACCGTCTTCACCGAACGGGGTACACACTTCAGGGTCGTGCTAATGACAAAAATTAGAACATTAGGTGTATGTTATGGTTATTTTGAGAGACTTCTTGGAATTTCTTTCAATCTTTAATCTTCTTTGAATACTGAATAAAATAAAGTCAGCAAGTGTGATAATAAAGGTAAAGTTTACTTTACCTTACCTTTTTTATTTTTACTTTACCTTTTTTATTTTTACTTTAAATTCAAATTAATAGAATAGATAACTATTTATTCAAAAAGCTTATTATAAACACTTTTGTAAAGTCATACTAACTTAGTCAATTTATTTTTTTCTGACCGTTGATTCCAGACAGCATTCCAGTCTCATCACATGAAGAACGAGCAAGAAACTTGCGTGTTGCTCTTTTAATAATTATTGTAACTTCACATATTTAAGTTGAAATGTGTGAATATCAAATAGTACTAATTCATTAGAATTCAAATATTGATACACAACCAACCGGTTGAGTAATTAAATAAGAGTAAATTAGAACGTTAGAATAATGGAATATTCTCTTATCTTTGATTAGAATAATATAATGAAACCTGTGTTTTAGGTAATGCCTAATTCTGATGTTTAAATTATAAATACAAAAATGTGGTTAAAGTTTTAAAATAAGTAAAATTTTACATTAACTAACACGAAAAATAATGTAGCGAGATTGGGATTGAGATTTTAATAAATAAATTAGCTCGACTTAGATTACGAGTGTAGTGATTGATTCTTAAATAAGATTGTCCTTTCTTTCATTTTCTCATTACATTTACATAGCTAACTATTTAGATTATTATCTCTTTTGTGCTCCAACTCAGTATATAGGTATAGGCGTATTTGATCTGATAACTTTGACTGGGTAAATTGAGTTTTCCTTTAATATTCAGCCTCAAGCAGTGATTCTATTTTTAAGACTCCAACTTAGAAATTGGATCAGTTAGTTTTGACAAGATGTTTAAATTGGTATTGTGCAATAATATAGAAAATTTAGACCTCTTTACATATAGTTATTGGAGTAGTGTGAAAATATTTTTTTAACACTAAGTATATTGAAAGGTACTGAAAATATTTAAGCATTTGGGTTTAATACTTTTTTAACTATTATTATGTGTACAGTATAATATATATTTTTAGTTAGGTACATAAGGGTTTTATAATTTTCTTCAAGATCTTGAGAATTATAATGGAATGGAATAAAAAAACTATTATTACACCGACCCCAACTAAAGTGATAGCAGATGATGAATGTAGCAAACATCTAGCAAATATTGGAAACTGTATATGGATTAATGAAAACTTACCGGGGAGCCAAAGTTATGTCCGATCTCGTGGGCGAGTGTAACGTGCGACACTGCGGGCGGCACGTGTTTGCCGTAGTTCAACAATGTCACGATGCCAGTGTTCAGTGACTTCATGCTACCACGGTAGTGCTGTCGGCAGACATTATACATTGGTTAGTACAAAACAAACATCAGATGTGTCGCATTTTGGGTACTAACTAACAGCAGTTTAGTTTTATGACTAGATTGTAATATTTTATATATAGAATAAGATACAATACATACTCACTGACTTTGTTCAAGAAATCCATTTAGATATTATAGAGTAATAATATTTTCTAAAACTTCTTCTTTGTCAATTCCTCAGGGCTGAGGGTCGTGACCACCAGAAATGCTTTTTCCAACCAGTACTACTGACTATCTTAATATTTATTACACTACACAATTTTCAGAGACGAATAAAACAAACTTTATGTTTTAAGTTTGTATACACAATATCCTCTGGAGACTTGATATAATCTTATAGCATAAAAAAACCTCATTTAATCTAGAGTTGGATGTTATTATTATGACACTAATTAGGGTATTTTTATTGAATAAAATTATTATTGACATTGGTTCAATTCAGAATTAGGTAGATATTCCGTAATAGATTCACAAAAAATGCAATTGAATTTCATTATATTTATATTTATCTTAAAACTGAATCCTCAAATTATCCCTGTAATAGGTACATAGGTATGACACCTTAGTCCTTCGGAAAGTCAACGCATTAGACGTATTCATGAAGTCACATGATGACGTGATATACTTAGTTCATAATGTACAAGCAACGATTGACACTTGCTATAATATGTAATGCTTGTTTGTCACTCTAGTTGCAAAAAGCTATAACACGTATGTCACATTTATTACCCTACAGGTGCTACACGCAGTTACGCTACTTACCCCATTTTTTTCACACACGCCGCCTGCATTTTTCAGATCACCCGTCCACGCTAATCCCAATGTGCCCATTTCGAAGTCCCGGTACGTAAACATATACGCCAAACAGAAGGCGTCGTAGTCTTCCTCTGCGTACATAAATACGACGGTGTAATGTTTATCTTCACAAAGAACATTTTATTAAACTTTATACAAAGTTTTATTCTAACCAAAGCGAATGTGTGACGGAAAAGCAGTTAAACTTAGCAAAAGATTTGGATTTGACTATCTACATTATTTCAGATTCTTTTCAATGTTCTACTATAGTCATGGGGCTAATTGCCGTCGGTATCTTAAAATATATGGATAGTACTATCATAAAAATATGTATGATGATCGAAATTGAAATGATATTCGCATAATTTAACTTGTATTATATGTGAATTAGTGGACAAAAATGATTAAGAATCAGTTTTGTGTTAAGACCTGGATTAGAATCTTAATTACATATAATATCCACTCTTGATCATTTCAAATGTGCTACTTTATACGCTACAGTTAAATAGAGAGAGTTATAAAATACATAAAAGGTAATGTACACAAGCAAGGAATTCGTACAAATTATAGAAACTGTTTATAATTTGTACAGAACGGCACAATTTTTTTTGCCAAAAGTTCTCATGGGGACTACAAGACCATTTTCTTTTATTATTGTTATAACTTCTGACACCTATTAAGGGGTTGGGCAATGTATTGTTATATAACTCTAAAAAACCTCATGGGGTAAGAGCAAAATTTTCAAAATTGCAAAATTTCTCTGTTTAAATCAATTCAGAGTTTTGTAATTGATTAATTGTTTGTACAATTAATCAATTACAAAACTCTGCGGAAAGTGTGACAATGTTTTTGAATATTAAAAATTATATCTATTGCAACTGTAACACTCTGTCTATGTACAAGCATGTCTATAATATGTTTTGGTAAGAAATTGAAAATATTTTGACAAATAATTTTACAGATAATCTGTTGTGAAACTGCTATGATGTAATAATTGAGGACAGGAAATCACTACTTGCGGAAATGATAAATCTTATTTCTGGAATTACATTGAACATCTTAGGGACCGGAAAATGTTTATAATACTAACTGGCTTTAGAGAAAATCGCTAACAAAAATACTGATTGCTCACCTGAAAAAAGTTCTAAATATTTTTCCACGCCATAGTTATTAGGAAACCGATAAGCTGGATCCTTCAGTGCGTCTAGAGTATGAACTTTTATTCTTTTGATCATAAACGTTATATTATCTGGTTTTCCATCTTGATTGAAATCTACAAAAAATATTTATGTTTAAAACTCAATGCAAAGTTTAATTCAATTTGGAAGGCTAAATTAATAGATACCTACCCGTTACTTTATAAATTGCATTGACTTTTTGTACATGACGAGTCATAACTTCTATGCAAGCTTCTTCTGATCCATAACGCTGAAAGAACATGTGATCTGCTTGTAAATAAACAAGGCACGTGGTCTTTCTTGGATCTACTGTAGCTCGTTTATTAACATGCCGCCCGTCATCAGTTCCATTGGCTGATAGCACCGTATACCCTACTGGTTCCTTTTTAACTATATCTTTACTAACTGTTACAACACCTGCTTTCGTTTTTATCACTTCTACATGTGTCTTTGGCTTTGGTCTAGATTCTTCAGAATCGAGTCGAACTTTAGTTATAAGGTTGCTTTTGTCAACTTTTGTTTTCGGTTTCCTTGTGCTGAACTTGTCAAATGGATCGCTATTACTCGTGTACGGAAAATCTAAATCTAAAGGTAATTCGGGATTCTTCTTTGGCTCATCATCTTGCATTTCATCTTCAGGGAGCCAACGCTTTTTGCGTCTGTTTATTTCACTACGCAAGTCTTCACTGTAATTATTTTGAGTTAGATTTTCTAAATTGCGATTATCGGTGAAATTAAATAATTCGCCTTTGTGGCCCGTCGTTCTTTTAGTGTGGAGGAGGTGTGAGGCGCAAGGCATTGCATCGCTATTTTGCGGATCATCTACGTCAGATCTCCGATAGATGACGCTATGCATCGAAGGATGATCCACATTGTATCGTGACAATGGCTCGATGTAATATTCTTCAGTTGGTGTCCAAATTGTGCCATCGAAAAGGCCATCAGATGTAATAACGCCATACACGTGAGACGAGTCATCATCTAAAACAACAAAAGAATCAGAGTTAATATAAAAAAAATATATATTTTGCTTACAAAGTAATTTTGCTTGCTCGGTAAAACTAAAGAATATTCTGAATACTAGACGAGACCACCCGGGAGCATAATTCAGAAAACTCGCCTTCTTTCATATAAATATCAAAGTTTCTAATGTGGCTTCACTGAGAATCCAGAACTTTAGTTACGTTGAATTAAATGAAGAAACCTGATTTCTACTGTGCTACGGAGGTCCTCCATCAAATTGGCGTTATAAATTCATTTAATCACGAAGCTACCTTACATTTGGATCCGTTTGACTTACAAACAAAGTTGGCATGCAGTATAAATGGTCCGCGATATTTTATGTTAACTAATTCAAGGTGCAAAGAGCTTTTCCGACTGTGAATTAAAATCACAACTTGCAGTCGAAGGCGGGGAAAACCGCTCATAAATAACGGTAATTACCTAACCCGCCACCTTTCTTTTCATTAATTTTCTGATAAAAGGAAAAAATCGCCTGTGTTAAACATGGCATTAATGAAAGGTGCGGGGAGAAATAAATTTAAAGAGGTTTGATGTCTCCGAAGTCTTTGACTGCAAAGGCAGGTAACATCAAAGTCGCTTCTGCTCTCCAAACGCTTGGTTGAATCAACATTAAGCGAAAGATTTCAGTAATGGCCATGTGTAATTTGGCGAAATCAACATCTCCCATTATCATTTAAAATATTTACTCAGCGTACAAAGTTGACAATATACTAAAAAGTAAAAAAAAAATTCTAGGAAAATATTTTGATTATGAAACTATCAAAAATAAGATTGAAGCTGTCTAGCTTTCAATGATATTATTAGTAAACAAAGCCTAAAGAAGTGTACCTACTCCATTAAACTTTTGAAGTAATTTCATCAAAATTCACTTTGTCACCGTCGTTCCAGATGGGTCTCGGCACATAAATCCGTTTCATTAACTTAGTCGCAGAATGTACAACTTTCTTGGGCTCATGTTTAATTGCTTGTCTCATCGACGTGGAAAATAAACGCAGAGTTGTAAACTGTTCATATAAAGTAATATTATATTCAAGAGAGAAGTACTGCTCAATGTTATATATCATATACGCGTTTTGGTTCCTATCAATGTTTTTGTTTCCATGAATTAATTAGGACGTTATTATTTTTATTTATATTAAACTGCATATAAACTAAACAGGATTTATTTTATCCATAAATTGTACATTTTTGTGTGTCTCGTTAGAATCGGACATTGAAAAAATTAAATTCCTTTTCATTCCTTTCTATTAATTTATATTCAAATTAAGTATTTCTGTAGTTTTAGCTGCACGGTAACGAATCGGTCTTTAGAACCCAATTTAAACTTACCTCTGCATAATAATATAGAATAGAATAAATATATACCTACCTTTTTTTGTACTTCATTACAACAGCTATTTTAATGAACTAACAATAGTGACCGAAAAAATCTACATAATACCAGTCTTTAGAATGCCGTTTTGTCATTGTGAGAAGAGATTTGTTTTCAATAACACTGTGCCAAGTAAAGTGAGGCTATAATTAAGAAACAAAAGCTTTGGAGCCGCGGGAACCGGGTGATACAAGCAAAACAAAGCAGTTAAATTAACTATTACACAATAACTGCTTACAATCTGCTGAAGGTGTCGTGTCATGGAATGCCACGTTAACGATAACAGATCTCATTACTGATTGCCTAATATTCTTATATCACTAAGTCCCTAAGGACTGTTATCCTTCCGTTTTATCAGAGACACGTTCTACGTCCTTCAGAGCTGTGTTAACCGACAAAAAATACCTACATAGTCATTGTTAAATTATGTTTTTTTATTACTAATATGATAAACATGCTGTTCACAATGCAAACGTTGTAGTTAAACAGCTATTTTAGTTATAGTTATGGAATATATAGTTTCCATTCTATTTTATAATATTATAATTACTCTAATTTATCATTCGATGTAAATTCATTCTATTTTACTGAAAAGTGGTCATCAAGCTGAAGAAAATTTATATTGTAGTAGTATTGTTACTACTCGTGTCGACCTTTACAATATAGATACCTACTTATTATTTTATCTTTACAGGACCTACTTACAGTGAACTAATTGCAGATTGGCAGTCCATATTGTCTTCAATAAATGTTTATAGGTACTCAATAAAGATATAACATCAAAGGTATATTAAAAATAAACTTAAACTCAATGACCTGTAAAGTCGGTTTGCAACGCAAATAAAGTTATTTATTAGTTTTTGTTTACGAACAGAGAAAATCCAATGCGAAGAAAACGTTCATTCAGGTCAACGGGAGCGGGAACGTAGAAGTTATTATCAAGAAAGCAATTATAGGGTTGACTCTTACTTATAATTAAAAGAAAACCAGCACAAAGGAGTAAGCCGTTTAAAGAAAACAATTTAATTTCAGCAGCCCGCCGGATAATTAATGGAATGACTCAAACAAAGCATATCGCGGGGAACTGCTGTAACGATAATTGGCGAAATACATTATCTGAAAATCTCTGATTTGAGGGCGTCCCAGCCTACTATCTACAGCCTTCTACCTCGACTTGGATTCCAATTTCTAACCTAGACACAGAAAATTTAGCGTGTAATTTCACTCTCCGGTGATGGAAACGTAGATAACAAACAAAATTAATCCGAGTGACAGTGGCTAGATACCTTGTTGTAAAATTCAAATATAATGACGACGCACGACGCAGATAATTACAATACCTCTGATTATATCCCATCTGGATTAGTAGTCATGAAGGTATTTTTTTTTTAATCCACATTAAGTTTTCAAAGAAATCTTAAATAATTATTTCTCATGAAAGGTTTATACCTTAATAAATGAGTCATTACTTACTTTCTAATTAACGTTTACATTTTACAGGAAGGCCTTTATAAATAGAATAGTTATTAATAATATATTAGAATAAAATATTTATTTATTCCAGTAACTAATGAGTCAAATACTAGCAAAAATGTATTTTTGTTAGTATTACATAAAAGCTTGGCAAATAACTAAATAAAATAACAATAAAAGATATTGAAGCAAATGTCCTCAACATTTCTTTGTGCACGGTATGTTTGATCACAGATTCTATGGTATACTTGAAAGAACGCCTATCCTTTCTCAGACAAGGTTTTTGATGATTTCGTATTCGTTGAGATTGTATCTGATGTGAGATGCGATCACACGCTGTAGATATTCTAAGTAGTGCTTCCAAGGGTCGGCACTTAGTGGACCTTTTACCCTTATACATTTTAAACGGAAGCTAGATGATATGACTGACGGACCGTCAAGACCTTTATAAAAATAGAATAAGTTAGATAGAATCCTCAAGTCCATTATGTATAAAATAAGTAAAGCTTTTTAACCATAAATCTAAATATCAAACTGTGTTGTCTGTAATAAAAAAACTCGTTTCATGACCTGGCTTCGCTTGGGTGCTCCTAACAAAGCAATTTCTGATACATGAGCTTTATTACCCGTTTTTAACGTAGGTAACGTTAAAACAATACATGAGTTTATTTTCGCCCTAACAAAATTAATTCTTTTTCTTTATAACAATATCATAGATGGACAAAGATCAGCTTCAATTTCAAGAACACGAAGCTTCAATAAGGTTCTCAACGCCCTACATGAGTATATCATGTAACTCATAAAAACTTGTAATATATTCAACGTCAGAGTTTACAAATGAGTTTGTATGGAAGAATCATACATAATGAGTATTCGATGAGATCTCCAAGAGCAATGCCGGGAAGTGACTCGGAAATAATGTCAGGGCGGCAGAAAATAGGTAGAGCATGATTATGTAGAGAAGCCGAATGTAACATTTGGACAGCGTTCACGTCATGCATGAAGGAAGCGGCATGAATTGGCACAAACGAGCCGCACCGCACGTGACTCGCCTTGCGACAGTTCCTCATTACAAAGCTGACACTTCACTTTACCTTTGTAAAGATTCGGCCATGTTCCTACTCAGACTCCTAACAACGTATGTTTTTCTGGTAGCTATATTGGTTCATATTTAATAAATACTAGCAGTTCGCGCTGGTATCGCACGTGTGAAGTTATTGTTGGGGTCTAATGGATTTGAAAATAAGTAACAATTATTTTTTAAATAAGCTTATGACGACTGCTTGTTGGTAAAACGTATTCTTACTATTTTTCTATTTGTATTCTAAAGTGTGTTAATGTGTCATTGTAAACACACATGTAAAGAATTTTAGAAACTAACAATTAACTCAATTGTGACATTGTAATATGCCTTTGGTTGAATGACTTAATTGCATAATGGACTCTTATCTGATGCCGTGAAGCGATTATGTGATGACATACTTATACCAAAAGATTATGAAGTTTCTCAACCTTTTACATCGAAATAGACTTTGTAAAAGTCTGCGTGGGTATCCTGTCTGACCTATTTCACCCGCCAAGCAGTTAGCTTTGTAAGTGTTTCTGATGAAGTGTTAGATAAGGATGTGAAATTACAGAATATGGAAATATAACATCTCAGTCCTTCGGAATGCCGCTACATGAGTGGTATCACAGGCTTCATATGATAACGTGATCTCCATGGTGCTGTTTAAGTGGCCTTCTGCATGACTGCCATTTCATTTATTAAAAGAAAGGTTATTGTAAATATTTTTTAGCTTACCTTCCAACTTGCCCGAGTATACTTGACCAGTATTGTAGTCCATCTGGCCGGCGGACGAGTGGAATTGGACGCCATCCGCGAACACTGAACTTGGATCCGGTCTCAGCACCAACTTGAAGTCCCTTTAAAAAAACAATAACATTTAATAAAATATCATCTACGAGAATTATAGCACTGGTTATTTGCATTAAGCTGTTACTTAATCATAAAAAAACGTACAAAATTTTTAATTTTTCGAGAGAGCTAAGGTTAGAGAAAAAAAAAACTCCTGAATTTCTAACAAATTAATTTAAGTTACTGTATAAGATGATAATGAAGTCGTGCATCACTAACAATTTATTTCCTCCACTATACTGTACTCACAACCATAATTATGAAGCTTTACAAACCGCTATTAAAAGGGCACGGGGTGCGAGATTCGTTAAAAATAGCCGGCGCGGGCACAATGTAGATCCTTCAAGCGAAGTTGCCTAACTAAATACATTAAAAGTCACGTGGCAGCAATATATTAGCATTACACCTCTGATTTATTAGCCATTACGTCGCCGCGCCACATTTTAATACCACCGTTCGGGTGGTACGTACATACCTATAAAACTGTAGTTTACTTACATATCGAATATCATATAGAAGAATATTATTAGTGAAATCTTTGCAATTACATCTCGATTGGATTGTTTATTTTCCGAGTTATATTTTTTACATTAACTTCTAATAATATGTTAGAATTATTAAGGGTTGTTCAAGAAAGTCGAAGTCTTTAAGTAATGGAGTAGTTATTTAGAATTTTTTACACATCTATATTTTATATTGCTTATTTGGTTTTATTGTAATATACAAAACTAGATTTTATATAATATCAAATATTTTATACGCTTTTATATATCACCGTACGTTATTACTGTTCATGTTATATACGCATGTCTTATATTACCTACGTGCATCATCATCGTAAAATTTAAACTGTCTACGTACAACCGTATCTAAGCCTTTTTATTATATCCTTATGGTAAAATTGTACAGTTAGTTGGAAAGTAAAGAGCCACTACCCCATTGGTGTAGTGAAATTAACCCTACATCACTTGGAAGGTTGAAGAGCTTGTCAGTAATAAGGGCTAGCGATTCAATGGGTAGTAATGTGTACCCAGGTCCTGTAAGACCGAGTTTCACACATTTTACCCTAGAAAACATGTGTATATATATTTTATATATAGTATACTGTGTGTTATTTCCTATTAAACATTTGTAATATTTTTCTGTTTATATATTATTGCTATTCTATTAATACGCCACCTACTACGGTCAGTGTTTTTTCTCTTTCCAAAGATTGTCTGGAAGAAATTCCGCCATTTTGTACATCATTACTCTGTTAAATATAATTATTTTATTACCTGTTTGGTGTAATACATAATTAAAATTAAGTTATTAAATAATTAGACAAACATCGTGGTTAGTCTGGTCAATTCGCCACTATAGGTATTCTGATCTGACTTCTTATTTATCCTTTTATATTGCACTGGTGTCCCACCAGCGAAAATATTAGCGTAGGCTACACCAATAAAAACTTAACATTGCTGACTTAGCTAGCGGCATAATATGTATAATAGCCACTATGATCTAACAATTTCAAATCTTTCAACGCCACAAGTTTGTAACTTCATAAAGCGTTTACAATTGTCGAGGATTGCACGTCAGAAGCGACACTAACGAGCGGTATATAATGATGTTACGTAGACAGATAGCCGAATGTCGCTCCTGTTTGTCTGATCAAACTTCGTTATAGCAAAACTTACGTTGCTTGTTGGTTCCTTGATTCCATTTAACCCAACAACTTGTCTTTGCTACGTAACTTTGTTTATGAGAACAGTTAATGACACAAGTTTGTTTAATTTAACAATGTTTTTTTGTTATTTCTCTCGCTTTAATTATTTTTGTACGCCTCTAAAAATAATAGGAGCTGTATGCGGAATCAAAGCTATTGTTCAACAATTTCTTGCCAACAATAATCTCAGATGGGCTAGTTCTGGCTAGCCCATCTGATGCTGAAATGTCGTGGTGAAAGCAACACATATCTTTTATTGGTTTGGTAATTCTTTATCTAATTTCGAGTCTAAAACAGTCTCTCCCAATAAGTTTGATTAGTTATTGGTCTTTAACTTGACACAATAACTTCTGCTTCTAATTCAGAGGAATTAACCTTGTGGCTACGGCAATATATCAATGCAGTGCCTATGTTACTGAACAAGAGAGCTACGTTGCTCAGCTCAGCAAGTAACACATAAAATAGAATTAAACAAGGTACAATTATTGCGAAAGATCATGCAAAATAGAGAACAGTGAATTGAGCATGGGTAGTACTTTTTCATTGATGAGTGGGTAGAGCACATTGAGATTTCGTCAGATCTACTCTCATTGTTTGCCGACCGGATTTCTGATGTGATTAACGAATTAATTACCTGAGTAATGCGGCTTGGTTCCCGCGAAATTAACTTCGAATACCTTCCAAGTAACGTTTAACTCGGGGTTCTATAAATATTAATAAGCAAAGTTTATAAGGTCTTATATTTGGTATAGAGGGGCAGAGCTAAGAAGAACTTTACTTAACAATTCGGTGCATAAAATTATTACCTACCTACTTTATAATCTCATAAGAGTCTTTATCTAAAATTATGGTTTTTGATTAAATTATTGTGTAGTATTGGTTACTGTATTCATTAAATTTAAGAGTTTGTCTGTAATATTATAATCAAAACGTTGATCAAGACCTAAATCTCCATTGAAAAGTTAAGTTAACATAGAGTAGAATTTCTTGTTAGTTCTTCTAGTGTAACACTATATTCGTAATTAACGATGGATTTTATTTATCATAAGTATCTGTATTAAGCCTATATAACAATAAAAATAAATTGACTATAGGTTGATCTTCGTCCTTATATTTATAAGGACAAAGTTAGAAACAAGTATGCACATGCATAAATAGATGCAAATACGGGCATAAAAGAATAGATGTATGTTGATGTAAACATTATCTATAAATTTAAAATCTGGGCTATCAAAACATCGCTTTACACGAATCATAACAGGATTTGCTTTGTATAACCCGCCGATTAATGATGATGTAGTCAATTACGTTCACAGCGCGAAAGGCCTATTAAACTTGGCAAGGGCTTTTTAACCCCCTGATTCAGTCGAATAACATTTGTAAGTGGCGACGTAGTTCTAACATTGGTCAATTTCTATTATTAAAATAAAATAATAGATAAAATAAGATAGTTACAATTACATACTATTTACTAAGCTAATAATTAATGTACATTTCCATTATAATTATAATAATATAAATAAATAGGTAAGCAGGTAAGACGGAACGTACTGTACTTGATTTCTCATCTAATTTCGCAGCTTGCACACTCAACGTTCACTTCAATCATACTTATTTCAGAAATTATGCTTTTAATGATATGAATGTTAGGGATGATCTATATTTGAAAAATATCGATGTTGACAAGTTAATAATCGATCTATTAACTTGTCAACATCGATATTTTTCAAATATAGATCATCCCTAATATTCATAATCGTATAATCGTATCGTAATCGTATGATCAAGATAGGTTAAACAATTTGCTTTATTGTTTTCAATTTTACGGTTCCAATTAGCTTTTCTGTCGATATTATTGAAAACTTGACATGGATATTAAAATATCGACATTTTCAACTAACAATTGATGTAGGTATATGGATCATCCCTAAACTACATAATTATAATGATGTATATTTTTGTTCTAATATTTGTATTTACTTCAAAATGTAATAATCTTTATTCCTCATCAACAAATTCAGAACATGCACATTAACTTGCGCTTTGACAGTAAAGCGGCAGTGATTAATCAACACACTAAATCAAAGCAAAGCGACTGGTGAAATTACGTTAAACTTTATCACAAAGTCGTTCCACATCTGAGCTCGTCCATCCTTATTTGCGAGAGTAGATCAAAACTGAAAACTCCGTAAGAAGTTATTAGCGAACGCAATTTCCAAAAGCCATTATTCATTTCTGGCAACAAACAACTTGATCCCGTGATGCTCGCTTTGGGGTCATACAGATAAATTACTGCAGTACTGTGCGTCAGCTGTTAGTTATATTTTTAATATATTTTCTGTCAAAAAGGTAGCTAACATATTGTTTTTAGAACTACAGACCGGAAGTACACTTCATTAGTGCTTGGTATTCTCTACAGTACACTATTTAATATGGTACTTGGTTAAATAAATGTAACAAATAATATTGCTATTTGAAAAAAAAACATTATCATCCTGCCACCATACGTGTTCAGTTTACGATCTATACATATAGACTTTAAATGTCGTATTTTCGGGATAACATCCAAAAATTATGTATATTTCTAACTTTCCTGTGATGCCACGTGTGGAGTTCGACCATTGTCCACAGTTCATAATACGGTTAAATTTTAAATGAGGTAGCATTTAAAATTATAGTCACGAAGGTATATTTATTACTCACTTATATTATATGTAATCTCTACCGACACTATCAAAACGAGGCTATTCAACACCAATAAGTTTCCGTGGATAGAAGATTCTCGTAAATTGCGTTTTACACAAATGATTGCAAGCATTTAAGTTCTAATGATATAATTTCTGTGCACATTTTTATGACAGATGTACTGAAAAATCCATTACTGTTCCTGTGTTTTTTCCAGCCTATTTTTCATGTAAGTAAAAGGATTATTGAAAAATATTTTATTCTAAATCGTTCTTTATGTCATCGATTGTTATGTCGCAAAAATTTTAGATTTTTTACTCTGAGTGCAACATCCCTACCACAGACGACTTGCGGACTAATTAATGTTGTGAACGTTGCAATGAATCTAGATCTGTTGAAGCTTATATCCCGAGGTGCGGTAATTCTAAAGCATTTCATATGTATTAGAACAGCAAGAAACTTCTAGCATGCGGTTTATGTATATTGACATTTAATGTTCTTAAACACCTGGAATACTAAGTGCTGACAAACTAAAGTTCCGAGTACCTGTGTGTTACATAATTGAGATTAAGCAAAGATTGAGTTTGCAGTATGGAATGTTTACTTAATCAAATG